TCGATCGTTTTCAGAATGCATGATATATCGTGTAGTTCGAAAACAATGATCAAATGACGCGGCGTTTTCGCTGACGTAATTTCGTCCACCATTTTGTTGTTGTGAATTGGCTGGCTTGTGCTGAAGGTGAGCATTCCAAGGATCGTCATGACCTTTCGTATGCGTAGAGCATAGAAGCTAATAAGTCTTACAAGTTGCGATGTAATCCTTCAAATTAGTAATTTTGTTTAAAAAACAAACTAACAACAAAATGGCGGAGTGTCGTCATTTGACAACACCCTATAATCGTTTTCACCTCAAGATGAAAACAAAAAAAAAAAGTTTTTGCGCATTGTTTATGCGTTGCTTTTGGCGTTTGGGACGTGTACATCTTGATAGCATAACATAGATCTAATCTAAAAAGCACCTACACATATCTCAATTAGTAACTTAGTAATTAGTAATGCTCCGCAAAAAGTTGGACTTTATTTTTTTTTTTTTTTTTTACTACGGTTTTTGAGGTGAAAACGAGTACAAAGGTAACGAGAAAATAACGCGCCATACTTTTGAACTGAAGTAATTCGCGTCTTTTTCAAGGCTCAGTAACGAGTAAAGTACTTAATTACTTTTTCAACGGAGTAACGAGTAACTGTGTTTGGTTACTTCTTTTTTAGTGGCGAGCGCATTTCTGGCTTGGATCATCGAAGTACAAATACAAATAGACAACAACGTATTCTGGTGATCTTTTTTTTTTTTTTTTTTTGAAAGCATGAAATGCTTTTTAACGCTACCTCTAAACCCAAAATTTGGTCCATCCTTCCGTCCGCGCATTTTCCGCTAAATTTAGCGGGGAAAGTGGCGCCACGGGACGTCACGTGACCCATACACTTTGTGGAAATTGGCGGCACGTGACCTATACGTGAACTCAGTTTCCCCGCTAAATTGAGCGGGAAAATTAACGTCTTGGGGCTGAAAAATTAGGGAATTATCGTAGACCTCGTTTCCCCCTACGCTAAGCCCTCCGCAACGAAAATCCCGCTCCTGCGCCTGCGCGCCGATGGCCTTGGCTGTAGAGTTGCGGGTAGCGGAGGGGCTTAGCGGAGCGGGAAACACGGTCTACTAAAACTCGCTATTATAGCGGGCTGCGGAGAGCGGAGCGTTGCGGGACGGCGAAAACGATCTACAAAAACTCCCTATTATTTCAGTTTCCTCGCTAAATTTAGAGGGAAAATATCCGTCTTTTGAGACGTTAATTCCTATCTTCCTATCTTCGATAACACTTCGGCACCTCGTAAGCTTCGAGCGTGCGCGTGCAGCCGAAGCACGACGGAAGGCGACAAGCACGTGCTGGACGCATGTGTGTCGCAAAGAGGCGTCCTGAAAGTCCTCAGTTTGTCTAGAACTGAGCGACAACCTTGGAATTCGTTGCCATCGGAAATATATACGGCAAATTGCTCGGCAATTCCGTTCCATGCGTGAAACGAGATAGCCCATATCACACACACGTTCCTATTACGGCTTAGCAGCACGTTTTGCCTGTTCAGCCAGACGCCTACGTTCACGGCGCCCTTCATCTGATCATTTAACGCGTGACGTCTGTATACTTGAAATGATAAACCTGGTAATCTTACAGAACTTTCCATTCCACTCCCGCTCTCCCACGTCGCCTCCTGCATTCGTCTCCGCCTCACTCCACCCTTGGTCACATATGCTCTCCTTGTAAGCCAATCAGCGTCGAGCACCTCACTCCTCCTCTCCCGCCCGTCAACCAATCAGTGTCGAGCCTCGCGGCCACGCTTTTATCCAAGCTTCACTTTTTGAGCTTCACGAAATGCCAAACACCTAGCCAGTGGCGTCACGAGGGTCAGCGGCACCCGGGGCAGTAATCCTCCGCGACACCGACACCCCCCCCCCCCCCCCCACCTCCCACCCGTCCCCCCTCTTGTGGCCCGCCGCGACACGCCCCTGAGCCCTGCAACCGGCCCCCCCCCCCCCCCCCCCCTTGTGACGCCACTGCACCCAGCCAAAGAACGTTAAAATTTGGGATTGCAGGACGCGTCCCATTCAACAACTGGAGCATGGACCAAAACTCACAGTCACGTCAAAGACCGTAGTTCAAAATAAAAAGAAAAGTTCGGCCTTTCGCGGAACTGTACTATTTTCCCCTTTCCGGTGTTGAATTAAGTTATATGAAGGTGGGCATCTTAGATGAGCTTTATGTTCTTTCACCAAGACGTACACACGTTCTTGTCATTTATGTAATTCTCCTCTTACACCATGACTGGTGTCAGATTAAAAACAAAAACAAACGGCGGAGACATGATTTGTAACCTCGTTCGCCTTCGAAATAAAATTAAAAAAAATAATAACTAGAGAGAATTTACAGCGCTAAAAACGCAGAGAACTTCTAGAAGAAGGACGTACACTACAAAGCCTCCTTTTTCTACCTTCGTGTTTTTGGCGTTTTTAATGCTCTACAATATACCACCAACTCGTCCGAATTCATACCCTTCTGAAATATATATATAAAAAATAAAGCGTTTAGGGCAGTCGTACTTGAACTTTCCTCAAGCCCGTGTAGAACGTAGTGAAAACATTCAAACGTTTCTTTACGTTGTGTGTGTGTGCTTGTTTTTTTTGTTTGTTTGTTTGCAAAGGCCTCTCCCGTCGACCGAAAATAATAAAGAAAAGAAGGACAAAGAGACCAGGGAGTGTAAGCGTGGTGAACAATACCCATTCCCGGAGTTGCAAAGGGACAACAAAAACACAAAACATCTGTTGTTGTTGTTTTTACTTCCAAGTAACTTTGTTTTGGGATATAGTTTCCAGCATGCTTAATTTTCACCACTCCCTGTACCCTAATATTTTGTTTAAGGAGGTGTGTTGTTTTACTGCTTTCTCTTTCAATATATATTTTTTACACGTTTGGTAAAACTGTGATTCCAAATAAAAAAAAAAAAAAAAAAAACTTGGGTTTTCGCTTATTTACACTGCTCGTGTTCGCACTTCCGCTCTCAGCCGGGTTTAAATTTAGACCCTGCCTCCGTTCTGTGTTTTGGAGCTGTTTCTCGGAAGCCGGGGGGCAGGGCTGGCACGTTTAATATTTGTTGTTACAAAACATGGGGAAAGGAAGGAGGAGAGAAAACATACTGTGAACGAGTTCATTTTCGGGAGGACCTAATCTTCGCGGATTTCGCGACTTGAAAAATATGGTGAAATATTTCATTACGCAGAGACATCATCCCACGGTAACGAATGCATAGCATATATCACTCCAAATCGTGAAACTTTTGTGCCCGCTGAACATTTCCTAAACCCACACCTTTCGAAATTCGGGAAATGATGAACCCGCAAAAAAATAAAGTCGTTAATAGTATTTGATTTGCTCAGGCTGTTTTAAACAATAAAAGGAGCACTTTGTTTGACGTAAAAAAGCTGATCGGGGGGCATAAAGCTTTGGTGTTCCTACTAGTAAAACGCGAGAGGAGAGAGACAGTCGCCCCAAAATGTCTTCTTGGAGCTCTTCGCGATTAAAAAAATAAAGTTTTACGCTGAAAAAAAACTTTTTTTATATACCGAGGAAAAGGCACTCAGCGTTTCTTCTAGACCAGGGGTCCCAAAACCCCGCCCGCGGGCCAGATCCGAGCCGTGGAGGCCTTCCTGCCGGTCCGCGGATGACCATGGTCTTTCCAGTGACGATCGGCCCGCGGCCCGCTGCTAGAGAAAATAGTAGGGAACTTCGAGGGCGCCAACATACCTCCTTGCCTTGTACATATCATCTCATAATCGCCATCGCTAGACGTGGCACCGCGGGCCTCCTTGGTACGGGCTGTCACTTTTCCACGGTGCCACGGCTCTCCTGAGCCCGTAAAGATTATTATTATTATTATTATTATTATTATTATTAACAACGAGAAATACCTTCAAATTTGCCGCATTCGTCGGCCAGGAACCAACGTTGCCAACGTGATCAGACCCTTGATCAGACTAATAAACAATTTCACCAAATATAGCGAAAAGTGTATTTTGTCTGCTAACACTGTGCTCAAACAATTTTTTTTCCTTTTTTTTTTTTATTTAAACATGGAGTCGGCAGGTTGTAAATATCGTCCAACGACGTTAAACAAACATATTTTCAGCCGTATTTTTATACCCCTGTGACCCGCAAAGGCGATGAACTGTCAAGCGAAGATTGTTAAAAAGTACGTTCTCTTAATAAAACGCGGCACGGTCCCACGACGTTCTCGGTGGCCCGTCGTCGGCACGGCTTGAATCGTGTGTCGCCGAGTTCCGCTCGGCTTTATCGCCGACTCGGCCCGCCGCACTTGTGCAGCATTTATACCTGAATCACATTCATTCGTGGGGCGTTTTTGATCTCTCCGGAAGGGCAGTTCGTATTGTGTGCTCGGTGCTTGCGATACGTGACGTGGGATAGCGTGTGACGTTGGCAGCGCGGCATTTCTGTCCATCGATGACCTTCGCTTGTTTGCTGCTGCCAGTTGGGACGACACGTTCGTAGCAACGTGTTACAAATTCGAGACTGACAGCTCTCCTTATTTTCTTAGTCTTATTACAATTTCTCCACTGTTCTGATCGTGCGTCGACGGTTTCTTCTGCGAAAGCCGGAAGCCTTCTTGTCTAAGATCGCCACTTCAGATGCTTCGATTTACGGATGTTGATTTTCGTCGGTGGTCACATAAATATGCTGTACGTACTACGGCCCAGTTTCCCTACGAATTTTTTGTGAATAATCGGACTGGTCTAAAGCAACGCAACGGCGTGGCTTTATTTTACTGCCAGGACGAGTTTTCTGTATACGCGATTTTGTTAACAAAAATGAAACAGCAACGTTGCGGGTTTTTTCTTTTTCGTTTTTTTTTTTTTTTTTTTTTTTTTTGTGTGTATTTGGCGTGAACCAGGTGTAGACCGCCAAAACCATTGACAACACACAGGATGTCACACGGCTTGCTAGGATGTGGTACACTTTTTAACGTCCGCTTATCATACACTTGATAGGGGACACTTCCTGAATGGTTTTCTCTCGAGCCGTCGGTTGTATTGACTTTGTATTGACTTCATGCTTAATCGTTTTGAGTTCTACTGCCCGCCTATCTCGTGCATGCTACGCATGTTTAGATTGTCAGTGACTTCCTATTTACAAGTTGGCTGATTTGCTAGTGTACATTAAAATAGTTTTGGACTATGACGAGATTTTATGCTGACGAGCTGATTTTGTGCATGCCACAGAGCGAATGTAGCTTGGTGTTGCATTTAACATGCAACGGCACGCTAAACACAACCTAGTTATGTGCAAACATATGTTTTTTGCACTCGCGCATGTTTACAGCATTGACTAAAGTTTTACTTTCCTGATCATTTATCTACTGTCATTGTCCGTACGTGTGTCATAGCCGATTGTGTTAGAGATATCCTTCGAGGGTGTTTTCCTGTCGCAGGAATCCATGTGATATTGACCCGCAATCAGTGTGTATCCTTGACTGACGACGTCGGAGATTGAACGGTGTGGGGCTGGCGCACATTGTACTCCTGACGCAGTGACGAGAGGCAGATAGCGCCTGCCAAAACCGTCTCGAGCAGGGGCAGGATCGGTATCGTGCACGAGGGGATGCGCTACAAACACGTCTCTGTTCTTGTTCTCCGCAGGAAAGCAATCCAGGGAGACATCAAGCTCCCGACAGAAAACGGAGACTCCAGACCAATTCGTGCTACACCTGACTGGGGGGTGAGTTCGATGCCTCTTGAACTATTCAACTTCGATTACCAGCTTTTTGTGGCAGAAAGAAAGGCCCACAGAATGCGGTGCAACATTTTCCTATTGTCGATGACGGGCTAAGAATGCAGTAGTAAAAACTCCACTGATGTTTGGCCGCGCGCACAACAGGACGTTGTCAGAGCAGAAAGCTTACACTAAAGGCAGAGCGTCTGCTGTATTCTTAACCGGTCGCCGACTGCATAGAGTTGTCATCCGACATCTGGGACTGTTTAGGTTTAAAAGTGCCAGTTATAGTTTGGATGTCCCCATTCCCAAACAAGTTGTGGTTTTGGAAAGACACTTCTAAGTAAAACATTTTGTCTGGACTCGCGCCTATGTGCGTTAACTCGAATTTCAGTAGTAATAATACCCATAGATAAGCACGAGTGATGTTGAGACTGACCTTTGACAAGAGACTTTGCTTGGAATCCTGGCGCATACAGACCATGCTGGAAAGCATCAACAGGTCCATCGGCACTCTACCATCTGCCCATGTCGATAGGCTTTGCCCTATTACCTATACAAAGAGAAAGATGTCACCATAGAAAAAGACGAAGAATAGCGCTGTCAACGTCCAGGATCATAGTCATCCCTGAAGAAGAGGCCGAGTGGACCTCAATAGGTTAGGTCCCCGAAAATTAGGGCTTGGTTGGATGTCTTTCATTAATTTTTGTTCCCAAAACCAGACAGATTTCCTTGAACTGCGAATGTTTAACTCGGGTTTTCCTCACCGGCACAATATTGTGCCAGTGCAAACATGAATGAAATAGTTTGTCTGCTCTATTGTCCCTTCTCTGTTCAAAGAGTTGTTGTTGCTGTCAAGAATCAGAAAGTGTGATGGGCATCTCTTGCTTTCAGCAGACGGATGTTTCGAGGAACAGCTATCCTTCTGCGAGTGTCCGAAACACCTTTTCGTTTTGAAACTTCGACCGATCGTCGATGGAAGGCAGATAGGGAGGAATCGCACTCATTCGAGTTTTTTGCACCTATACTATGCGAGCGCTGGTTAACAGATTTGCATTTAAGTGTGACCGGGTGCATTGCGATCGCTCATGACTGCTTGCGGCGAGAGAACACACTGACACCATCTATTGGGCATCTCTGGAATATTTCTGATAGGCATATATTTCTCGATTTCTAGTTGAAATATGCAGGTGTACGAATTGCACTCGTTGAGTGTAATGAATGTTACGAAGCGGTATTTTTTATGCATAGTTCTTCCACTGTGGGCTTGAAATACTTTCAGAAATGTCGTACCACTTCTCGTAGCTAGTGCTTAGATTTTATTTTGCAAACAATGTTAAACCTCCGGGGACAGAGGACACCTGTTTGATCGCCTGTTGCGATCGAAGGCAAGGAGGCACCCTGTCACACTCAAAACGCAAATGCGTGAACCAACCTTTAGTTGGACTTCTTAACGGGCGCACAAAATCTGTTTGAGTGAGCTATCTTTTGACGTTTTTCCAAGGATGTTTAGTGTCTATATTTGCTGGGCTGAGCTATCTGTGGTATCGTTAAGAGAAGCTAATCGTTGCGTGAGTGTGTGTTGTTTCTGCAACCTTTGTTTTGCAGGAATCTGCTATCAATGGGGACCATCTATGGACTGCCACTAGTGCCTCAGGGGATCTCTGTTATGTGGGTGAAAGTGAATGCTCAGTGAGTATCGACCCCTGTGACCCTAGCTACTGTGCAAGTCTAGCCAAGCGGGACTCTCGCCTCTGACCGTCGTCATTGTGCAGCGAGCACTGGTCATACCATTAAACTCAACTTTTAGAATAAAAATGGAATTGCAGAGCCCCAATGTCGTCACCTTTGAAGTCAACACGCCAAATCTGTATGAACTGCATGGAATTTATTGGAGGAAAAACCCAAACTTTCTGTCACTGACCTCACTCAGAGATGTGACTTTCATCACCTAATTGGCAAAAAGCCCTGTCCTTGCAAAGCTTAACTTCTTCGGTGAATGTGAGTTACTGTGCGTCAAAGTGATCTCGCTTGGCTTGAATCTGGGCTCCGGCGAGCTTCTTTGACTGGAAAGGAAAAAGAGCTTATTTCACCGAAAAGGAGGTCTTGAAATTACGACATCTGAACAGCCTCAGAGGTGATCAATGAATACTTGCATTCAACAAATTATGCTTTTGGAGTCGTAGTTCAGAGGTGGTGGCATTGCTACGTACAGATTTCTTACCCCCAATAGTGCTTTTGTTACCAGCACAGTCGCAGAATCACACCAGCAAGCTTTACAAAGCAGAGAAGGAAAGCAATAGTCACGTTTAATTTTTGAAATTACACTTCTTTACATACTTGACCGATTAATGCTGCATCTTTGCTCACACTAACAATATACAATTCATACATTTCTACAACAGTACCATTTCATAACATGCCGTAGAGGAAATTTTTTTATTTTTTTTATATTTGTGATAACTGAATGAAATTTTCACAGCTCATAGTGCTTTCTGTAAATCTGGCATTAGATTTGATATAGCTCATCTTTTATGTTCTGGATGCAATCCATGGGCAAAAAAAAACATGTTTTTGCTTGAACAGAGGGCATGCCAGCACACATAAAGGAGCCTAGTAAAATAGGTTAATTAGCATCTTTTAATCCACTGAGTGCAATGAACAGTGTTTATGTAAATAATGTGTATAGGAACTCGTTGATTTTAAAATAAATTAAAATCTAAAAAATGCCGTTTTCAAAGGGCTAACAAAAGTTTTTAAGAGTATTTTGAAATATAAAAAAAACATGTGGATGGTTTAGCGTGTTGGTGTCTAAGGTACAATAACGAAAGAGGGACATGGCAGAGAAAAAGGAAGACAAACGGACGACACTCGTCTGTTTGTCTTTCATGTCCTTCTTTCGTAATCATAATAGAAAAAATATACATTCTAGAAATTAAACCTTGATAGTTGTATTCTCATAATCCTCAAGCTTATGCATGCCAAATTTGGTTGTTATATAGCAATATTAAGAACAATAATTACTACGAACAAACTGCAAAGCTGCCTTCGAAATGTAAAAAAGAGAAAAATGTACTTGAATATTACCATCATATCCCCAAACTTATGCAGGCCAAATTTGGTTGTTGTGGAACATTTTAAAGAGCAAAAATTAGTGTGCACAAACTGGGAAGCTGCCTCAAAAATGCCACAAAGAGAAAAATGTATTTGATTATTATCATAGATGTGTAAATGCACCCCTTCGCAACACGAAAAAGATTTTTTTTTTATTATTTTTCGTGAGACATCGAAGCTGCAAAAGATTGCCATGGAGAGGAGACAGCTAGGCCTACTTCTCAAAATAATTGTGTAGGCAGGGACGTCACAATTTGAAAAACAGTGCACAAGAACATGTCTCGTATTTATGCCTTTCTGGTCGCCGGGTGATTTTCAAATGTGAATTTGACTAAATTTGCGACCATAATCGGTCCTTAATATCTTTATACTATACTTAACGTGAGACATACATTCAAAATCTTGGAGTACACCGCAATACATGACTTGCATGTAACATTGTCGTACCATTCTGGTGGTCATCCCTATTGGCATTAACGTAAAAAAAAAAAATTATATATATATATATATATATATATATATTTCTAGGTGCAAGTCTTATGCTGCGAAAGGTACACGCACAGCAGCGGGACAACCACGGTGATTGCTGTTGTAACTTCGATGCAAGCCACGCATAATCCACGGAAACTTTAGGGATTTTTCCACGAGCTGAATGGAAAGTGGTCAGTTGCAGAGGAGTGATTGAGCCTAACCTTTGTTCCACAGAAACACGGGCCCCGGATGAAATGCCCAGCTTGTAAGATAACTGTTCATGCCGGATGTGTTAGCATTTTAAGTGATAAGGTGAGTACTCTGATTGGATCTTTGACCCGCTCTAGTGGTGCAGATGACTTTCCATTTACAGGCACATTGCAAAAGTTTCAATCGGTTTTAGGCTTGGAGATTATGAAAAGGTCACAGAGAAACGTGATGTTGTGGACAGACGTAACATTACGGACAGACCATAAATCCTTTCCCAGCTGAATTTAGCGTGCAGTGTCTTTGTTGAAGTTTAGGCTTGGTTTGGGGGGGGGTAATCCTGAAAAGAGATGCGATGTAACATGGCACGGTGATGTCGCATACGCGGTGATGTCGCATGACATCACATGAGATCATCTTGAAATGTTCTTTGTTCACAGGAGTTCGGCGGAAACCTACCAGTCATTTTTTTCCAAGTTCCATATGCTGTATTATTTTGTGGGAAAGAAAGGTTGCGATCGTGGCTGAACACCATTTACATTGCGCATCTTTAGAAGCCCGTGATTGTGAGAATTCTTTCGCATACGAGGTCGGAAAGATGCGCCATTTTAAACCTCCGAAAGGTGCCACCAAAGTATAGGACATTTGTGGTGCAGGCCTTGTTGGTATCACCTACATTGGTGTGGTTGTGAGCTTTCTGAGTGGCGGCATCGCCATCTTACTTACGTTGCCTGTCTGGTCACCCATTGAACCAAACGTCCTGTCTTGGTTATCTGTTCTGTGTTTACACCTGGGTGCGCCTACAAGTGGGCTGTGTTTCATTGATGAATGATGTGACAATGTACCAGTGGTGCCTTAGATTCATTTTGTTAGCATTTTCGGGTAATGATTTTCTTTTTTATTGCAATTATTCACATTCTGTTCTTGCCATAATCATCATTCTTGAGAGACTGTGTGTTGTGTTGTTTATCCTCTTTACTTCAGTCTTGGGAGTTTGTCTAAAATTGTTAAACCCTCACCAGCTTGTTAGCGTCCTAACTTTTTGTTTGTTAATTCTTGGTAGATTTTTGTTTTAATTGTGTATTATTTGTTGGAATCTTTATTTAGATTAGCAAATTCCTAAATGAATGAATTCATAAAAACCACGTACAACAGTCTGGCACACACTGTATTTCAGTGTTTAGCATACAATGGTGGAGCAAGACTTCTTTTAGTATGGCTTTAACGGTTTCGATTTAGCCTTATAGCCATTGGCGATTTCTTTGTTTGCCTATTTTAATGTTTTAATGGTGACATTCTTTGACCGTGTCTGTCTTTCAGATGAAGTTTCAGTGCAAACCCACCTTCAAGGATGTCGGTATCAGACAATACAGAGAGGTATGCTCCTCTATAACACACCATTGCCTGATCATGTTGAGCTTGTTCTTTTAACGATGCCACGGTCATTTGTATTGCGAGCCCCTACGATCCTAAACTCCATCTACATTATGCAACTGTATACCCTATTTGACTACTGCCCTTGACCTTGTTCCATCGACAACCAGCCAAACGTATGACAAACATTTTGGGGTTTGTCGTCTTGTGGACACTGTATTTACCGAAGCAGAACTCGAGATACCTATTTTTTGGAGGCGGCTGGCATAATCTCTGTTACCACCCTTGTTTTAAAAAGCAGCAGTTGGTTGTGTCAAGTTTCTGGATAGTCCGCTTGTATTCATTCATTTCACTACGGATACTAAAAGGAGGAGAAGGGCAGGGAAGTCCTTCAGTTGTACCCTCTCCAATGCCAGCTTCCTCTTTTCGATAATGCATCGGCGCCTCATGACCTTTTGGCATGCACACGCAGCCAAAGCATGGTGGAAGGCAGCAAGCCCATGGGGCCGGGTGTCTGAGAGAGCGCCCCATTCTTTTCCCCCTGTCAGCGACTATTTATTCATTTATTTGTATATCTACAGCGCCCAGTAGCAGCCAGAGGCCTAGAAGCTCAGTCGCCACTATGGTCGTGACCAAGGCAAATTAGAGTCAGTTGTAACAAGGGTGTAACAAGGGTCGGTGCACCAACGTAGCGGACATTCTGGCGGCATTTTTTTAGCTTTGCGCTCGTTTCCTCGAGGGCGTTATAGACCGTTCCATTAGGGTCATAGCAGAGAGAGTAAAAGAGAAAAAAATGCCCTCCCCCTCTCACCCCGCACTTCGTCCGCTCCGCCGAGTGGGCTGTAGCTAGCGTCCGGCTGGCGCGCAAACTCTGTTTAAAATCGCGTCATTTTGGAACTTTCAAGTGCAGATGCGCAGATTTTGGTATGCCAGTTATCATGTAATACTATGCTAGATAAAAAGACTCACAGGGTCCAATTGCGCTGTTACCTGCGTGCAAATAAAAAAAATAAAATAGGGAAAACTGTGTCAGATTGGCCGGTCTCTTTGGTGAAAAGTAAATCCGGTTGCTGTACCTTTTTTACTATACAAAGTTTGTACTGGTGTAGGCCTTTAGCGACCATGAGTGGAAGTCTGAAATAATAAATAAAACGTGCTCTCCTGCTGCAATACACGCAGTAGTTGAGGGTAGTACTGCCGGCTGACTCAACTGCTATTTAAGTAACGGAAAAAGGATATGCTAGTTGATCATTTAGCGAAATAGAACAACAGAGAGCTATATAGCTAATTTTGGAGTAGCCACAACTATTCTAAGAACGCGAACGACTTCACAACGGCAGCCACGAGCGAGAGTTCGATGTTCCGTACTGCCCGCCGTTACAGCCCAAAGATGGAGAACGGCAACCTCCCGGTTTGTCGTCTGCTAGCGGAGTCGGGCGCGTGCCCTCTCTCTCGTTTTACCCCACCGAACCCGCTGAACTTCCCGGATGTGTGGAGAGGGCGCTGCGGTCGAACAAAATGGTGCCGCCCAGAGAGCGCTAAATGGAGTGGTCTATACCCTTTCATTTTCGCCGTGTTCTCCGGAACGTCGGTAAAAAAGGGTGTTTGCACTCTTTCTTGCAGCAAACTGTGATTCAGCACCATTGGGTACATCGGAGGTACGAGAAGGGAAGGTGCCAACAGTGCGGCAAGGTGAGCATGTGTTGCCCACATCTGCGAGCTTCGGTACCTCGTTTGCCGTAATCCTGCTTAGAAATCTTCTGCGAGTACTTTCCACCGAATGTGCATGGAGCCAGTCGTTGCGGTTCCAGGCTGGTTTTCACATTTGCGTTTGAACGTGATTGACTGCCACTTATCGGGGGGCGCTGGAACACTTCCAACCTAGCTATATTTTATGCATCAATTATTCACCATGGGCGCGAAATAATTCTGACAGTGTTATAGGGAGGCATGTAGCCAGGATTTTGTTTCGGGGGAAGGGGTGGGTGGGTGGGGTGGGGGGCCGTTCATGACAAAATGCTGTATGAGGGGGAGTGGGGAGAGGAGGACCCAGCAAAATTGAAGATTTCGGGGGGGGGGGGGGGGGGCGGGTTCCCCCTGGCTACGTGCCTGGTTATAGACAACCATTTCTCATTGACAGTTCATGAAAGAACTTCTGGTCATTATGTTTAAATCTTCAGCAGACTTTTGTACAGGGTGACAATTTTTATTCGAAGCAGATGTTTTTAAGAAGGCATCTTTACTGTTACGTGAATGGAGTCTTCACTATATGTTTCTTGATCTTGGCGGGCCTTCGCGGTGCGAACAACCGTCACAGTCTGTTGAGCAATTAACTAAAATTCGTTAGTGAAAATAAACATATGGTCTTAATGAGAAACTGGCTGAGCATCATGGAGAACCACTAGATCGGTCAATTTTAGAACGACTCGAAGCACGTGGGAAACGCAAGTGTGCACCAAAGTTACCACTCATGCAGCCGGCACAAAGCTAGCAGAGCAGAAACGCAGATGGTATGTAATCATCTGCGTTTCCCCACCGCTAGCTTTGCGCCTGCTCCACGAGCAGGCGCAAAGCCTGCTCGTGGAGCAGGCGCAAAGCTTCGAGTTGTTAGAAAATTGACCAATTTAGTGGTTCTCCATGATGTTCAGCCAGTTTCTCGTTGAAGCCATTTGTTTATTTTAGTTAATTACTCGACAGACTGTGGCAGTTATTAGCTCTTCTAATGTCCGCCAAACTCGACAAGCACCCATCGAAGATGGAATTCAGCTAGCGGTTAGCACTTTTTTTTTTTTTAATTCTGTTTCTATTAAAAATTATGACCCGGTATGTAGTACAATATTTACAGGCAAAATGTAGACATCATAGGCAGGCGAACTGGTAGAATCTGGACACTCCGTTTCTCGTGAAATCATGAATTTTTTGTCTTTCACACTCTGCTCCGCTTTTGCCGCCGGTTTTGTTTCTTAGCCACTTCCCCCTTTCTCGCTGCCCTTGGGAGTTTTATTGGTGCATCTTGTAAGCAACTTCATTTTGAAGGCTGAATATTTTGCAGATTTCGGAGAGTGTAAGCTTAAGAAATATTTCGCAGGCACGAAATTTTACGAATCGGATCGACATGCAATCCACTCATTACCATTGGGCAATGTGTTCGCAGCATAAAGTTTTCACGATATTCTTCGAGTCGCAGAATTCGCTCGAAATAGGCCCCGCGAAAATTCAGTCGTTCACGGTATATTTGAGATTGCAATACTGCGAAACCTTCAGTCTAGTTATACGCAAACCGGAAGCGTTCCAGAGCCGCCTCGTAAATGGCCGTTCTGATAAAAATGGTAAAAAACCGTTCTCTCATAAGTGGCTTCAAACAGCTGCAATGCAGTCGATCAAACTCAAACACGAACGTATGAACCAGCCCAAAACGGCCAAAACTTCCACGTGTGCTTTTCAACGGAGCATCCGCAGAGTCAATCGTTGAAGTTTATGGAAGAGCCTAATGAACGAGGAAGCAGCAACAGCGTTTGGAGTCAAAAATCTTGCCAGCACGGCATTCATGTGGTTACGATCGCTTGACGTCCAAAAACAACCCTCATCCCTCGCTGCTGTCTTTGCATAAAGGGCAGCGGCTTGTGGCTCTCTGTGCGAGTCTTGGGGCTGGAAGTTGGACACTCGGCGAGCAGGGCAGCAAGAGCGCCGATGGCCGCGATTGGCTGCTGCTGCACTTGACCTTGGCGCTGACCAATTACAGCGTGGTGGGCGGCGATATTGCCGACGTGCTCGCCAAGCGTTCAGCTTAGAACCCCTGGAGACCTCCTTGTGAACAGGGGTCCAGGTCTTTTGTGTGTGCATATTCCTTTTAATTGTCGCAGAAACTCCGTTCTGAAGATAGTAAAAAGGTGTACGCCAGTCAGCTGTGTTGACTTTATGTTTTTGTTTCCTTTGCAGTCCTTTCAATCAAAACTTTCATTTGGCAGCAAGGTATGTTTTGGGTTCTTTTTTTTCTGCGCTGCACTTTGTTTTTGTCCGTCCTTATCGTCGCCAACAATCATCGGTGCTTGTTGAACGACCAGCAGTGCAGCTTGTCTCATTATTATTTTGTACTTCTGTTTTTCGGAGAAATAAAGCAACTGCCGTAAAATACCGTGGAAGCACCCACTTCGTTTAAGTGCCCACAATTAATGTGTTCCAAACTTGGGGATTCTGCAAATTATACATTAAGCCATACATGCTGGGAGAGTTTGGCTTTTTTTTTTTTAAGATGCCGACTATGTCGCAACCATGACCAGAGATTTGGCAAGCAAATGTTTTTCCCGCCGTAAGTGTGTTACCACTTTGTGTTACCACTGTTCCCACTTTGGATTAGCCACCCCATGTGTGCAGGGACGTGTCATCGTACAGAAAGGGTCTCTCGACCCTTTCACGCAATCAATTTTTCACACTTTCTTATCTGCAACAATCTTCATAAATATTACCGTCTGTCATGCTCTTTTTTTTTTGTCTACAAAATTGCTGTTCTATATTCCCACCAATGCCACAATTCAACTCCGTGCAAAACGTTTTCTACGAAGGAACTGCGAACCCATGCTCTAAATTGCCTAACCTTTATGGCTTGACCAAGCATGTTTTTGTTTGAAAACTAACAGAAAATATTTTATTTGTAAGTTTTGTTATTGGAGATAGATAAGAAGTGAGCAGTGTTTGAATGCAGTGATCAAATACACGCTTAACAGTATACCGATGAACGAGAAATGTTTTTTTAAGGCTACTGGTAACCGCAGATCTAAGTGGGCTTGCTCAGAGTGGAGTGGAAAAACAAAATTGAATCTCCATATTGTTATCTTGAGGTCAGCTGGTTCTAGCTAGATTTAGCGGGTCACAAGCTCCACCCCAAGTTGGCCCTAGGGGCGGGCGGGGTGCCACCGCGCCACCCTTTTGAATCTTTTTAACTGCCGCCCGACACGGCGCTATATGCTTGATCACCTTTCGTTTTTGGAATGCGGTTCTTGTCTGACAAGACGCTCGTTTTGGGCCATTACTCGCACGTTTACCGACAACGTGATGTCGTACCAACGGGGGCGTATAAAAAGGGTGAGTGGGAGGGGGGGGCGCCACAACCGGAGTTTGCTTGAGGCCCTTGATGGTGTAGGGCCGGCCCTGCCTGCACCCATCCACCAAACTCTCAGTATAGAAGGCTCTTGAGGAGGGAGTGAAGGGAGGCATGCTTACTAGGCAGCTGTGAGCCACACTTGGACCCACATTGGATGAGTACAGCAGAGGCAAAGGTAGCTTTTGTCTCCACTGCACTGTTAGAATGCATTTGAACGAGGAACACCGGCGTTCGACGACCGCAGTGGAGATAAAGGCAGCTAGCTTTACGTCTACCCACTAATCATTCCAATCAGAGCTCGGCGCTCTGGCGTCCCTGCCTCGCTCTCGTCTGCTCCTTTTCCTCAGTTTCTGCATTGAGCCGTGATACATTAATCTCATTCAGCTCACGCTTTTCTTGTGGTGCAGGAGATCGTCGCTATCAGCTGCACCTGGTGCAAAACGGCATATCATAACAAGGAGTCATGCTTCAGTATGCAACGGATAGGGGAGCAGTGCGACCTTGGAGTTCACATGGACATCATCGTCCCGCCGTCGTGGATCGTCAAGTTGCCCAGGAAGGTACGCAGCCGTTGCCGCTTGATCCCTCTTTTCTTAAAATTGGGGACACTGGCTCCAAACACGAGGTAGGAGTTCCCATTGTGCTTTCCCGTCTGCTATTGGCTTGATAATTGTTTTTGTTTCGATTGTCCATTCTTGAATCGCAAGTGCATGTAACATCCCTCTTGCTGACGTACAAGGCCAAGAAAATTGTGCTGCATGTATTTTTAGACGGCGGAAAGTTTGTGAGCTCCAATGAGCGTCTCCGCTGAAGATGAGAAATTTAGCTAGTGCAGTACAACCGCTTGCCTGGGATCTTCAACGTCCACCACGCAGTGGCAATAAACGACCGCATGCCAGTACGATGCTCATCCAGATCGAAACGGGCAGGGCTGGGGATTTATATCAACATCCTCGGATTCTGCAATGCAAGCTTTCGGTTCACATCCTTCGAGCTGCAGCGCGTTAATACACTCCAGCACTGATACCCTCAGAGGACCGAGTTTACAGCACGGGAGCGAAAGCTTGGATAAGGTTCCGCGCTGACACTCGCTCGACCCGACCGTGTCTGCGCAGGGCTCTTTCAAGTCGTCAATACGAAGATCGCCCAAGAAGAGAGCTTCAACGAAAAAGAAGTCGCGTAAGGAGGTGAGTGTTACTTCTTGAACTTGCTTCCATCCTATCCGCGATTTCTGTTGCTCTGCGGCAAGCAAGTTTGTTGTCCATTTCTCGTGCAGAAGGTACTGCGGCATTACTCGGATATGGAGTGCCCCGACGGGGCAGCGTCTGTTTGTTGTAGCAGTGGCTGCCTTGCCTCGTCTACGTCTCTCAAAAATGCCCCGGTCCCTTATGAATGAGCTTGGCTCCACTTTTGACAAGGAAGAGAATAACGCGTTACAAAACACATTGTTTTGGGTTTTTTTTTTTTTTTTTTATGAATAACTGTAGTCGGCGGCAAAGTGAGTGCGGCAGGGAAGAGCTTCCGTCAATGGCGCTCTGCGCAAGCTTCCTACCTTCGACATTGCTTCGGCGTCTCGTGCACCTCCAGTGCGTGCGTGCAACCTAAGCATAACATAAGGCATGGAGCGTCTGCTGGAGGTCAGGCGTTTGAAAGACGTGCCCTGCTGTTCTTGCCCCGTCGGTGACTAATACCAGATGTGCTACGCCAAACAAAGAATGCACTGCCGAGACATTTGTTTCCCAGTGAAGGGAAAGCGGTGTGCGGGTGTGGAGATCGTACGCACACGTGGTGCCTGTCTCGCCTTTTGGCACCTTTTCTCCCTTTGTGCAGAGGGACGTGTTTTGGTTGTCTCGCTCGCCGTACGGGGTCGTAACCGATGCAACCGTTGCCAATCGCCTCTCACTGTTCCATCGGGTTTTTTGCTTGCATGGATGTTTGTCTGTTGGTTTTGCTAGACCCACTCTATATCTTCCGCTTGAAAGACGCATGCAAAGGAAAAAAAAATATTTTAAACAGCTTAGATGGAAAAAGGATGTCATAAAACAATTTTACAACGAAGAAAAAAATTTTTAGAGCTATATTTATGGTGCTATACGAATTTGTAGTTGGCGCCCGAGGGCGCCGCAGAAAGGTGGCCTTTATTTATCACGTGACTGGTGCATATTTGTCACGTGGTGCTTGCGCTCTTTCGGAACTTTCCTATGGCCTCTAAAAGTAACTTATTCATCTTTGTTTGAAGTATAACGAACACTAAGATTAATAAATAGCTTTTAGAGCCCAAAGGAAACTCCTGAAAAAGCTCAAGCAGACGTGACAGCCCTGTGCGCCGGTCAAATGACGGCGGCGGCGCCCCGAAGTAGACAAACTTGTGCAGCGGTGGCGACAGCGGCGCGGAGAAACGCGATGAACCGGCGTCGCACAGCGCTCAGCTTGCGGCGGCAACATGACTTTGCGGCGGCGACAACGCAGCGCGGCGGCGCACAGGCCTACCACGTGACCAGCCGGGGCTCCCACGGGCACCTACTACAAATTTGTTTTGCACCGTAAATATAGCTCTAAATTTTTTTTTTCCTCGTTCTAAATTTGTTTTATAATATTCTTTTTCCATCTAGCCTGTTTAAAAAAAATGTTTTTTTCCCTTGCATGTGTTCTTTAAACTAGCGCCACTCCATGCCCCGATTTTCTCGCGGGTGCTGCCATTTTGGTGCTTGCCACGGTGCAAACGCAGTTGGCGACCGTTAGAATTCGAGAACGCGACTCTTCGAGTTTTTGGGTACACTGTCGGGAAGTTTAGGCCACGTTGCTGTGCTTCACCGCCGACCGCTTTTAACGTTTCCGTAGGACGGAAAGGCGTTTGCTGCGATTTCAAACGAAGCCACAGGCAAGCGGCAACAACGATTTGAAGCCCCCGGGTTGCCCGACTGGTCGTTTCTCTAAAGCGTGGCTCGTTTATAGCCGCTGACGAGGCGAGAGCGACAGGGCACCTCTTTCCAACGTCGGCTTTGACTGTGCTTTTGCATCGCGCGTGTGCTCGAGGCACCAAAGCATCGTTGAAGGTAGGCAGCTCGCGCTGCAGGTGGGACAAGCGAAGCTTCTTCCCGCCTTTCTCGTTTCGTCGGTGGCTCTAGCGGCCGCTCGGCCCCTTTTCAACAGGGCCTGTGCCCGTTGCAGGGCTGCGGGGAGAAGGACGCGCAGCGGGCGTTTGCCATTAAGCCGATCCCGTGCGCCTCGTCCAAGCCCCTGCTGGTGTTCATCAACCCCAAGAGCGGGGGCAACCAGGGGGCCAAGATGATGCAGAAGTTCCAGTGGCTGCTCAATCCGAGGCAGGTCTTCGACCTCTCCCAGGGAGGCCCCAGCCAGGGGTGAGCCACGGCCCCTCCTCTCCGATCCACGTGCATGCTTACTTACTGACCGAAACACCAGGCCGTCCGCGTCAAGTCCTCGTTTCAAACTCTCGTTCACGTTTCGCCCATCGAAAAGCGTGACGAAAGCTTGCTTACAGGTATGTTTGGGCTGGTTTGTTGATGAGCATCTCAGTTTAAACAGCGCGACGAAACAAGGATAGAGTAAAGACGAGAAGGGCGACAGCACTCGTCTGTCTCATCTTTACTCTGTCTTGTTTTGTCGCGCTGCTTTAAAGCAGGGTGACGAAAGAGCCCAAACACGTACCCAATCTCGCCACCCCACCGTGTCCTTCCACGCAATGAAGCAGACACTTCGTTGTCACGGTGATGGGGACCATGCCAGATGGACTTTATCGTGTGGAAGGACACCGCAGTGTGGCTAGATCGGGTGCTTGCTTGGACTGTTTCACGGTGCTTTTCATGAGCACAGTGGGAACAAAAGAAGTGTATGAGATGAGGACTGAATGCAGATGGCCGATTTCCTCCGGCGCCTAATGTTTTGATGAGCCTCATGCGAAAAGCATGCTTTTTTGGCCATCTGGCAGCCAGTATTTTCTTTTTTTGGACCATTGGTCTAAGGTATCGTACAGCCCTTTCATGTTGAAATGCCCAAACAGACTGAATGGCCGAGGTGTTTTTGCATAAAATCTGTTGAGAGCATCGAGTGTGTAAAAGACGAAAAGAAACTTTTTTTATAATCGCAAAAATAAGCAGTGCACTGCCGAAGTGTAACATTAGCATTTGAGACCAGAGGACTTACCGTTGTCTGAATGAAAAATTATAAGCAATTTGTGGAAAATTTCAACGAGGAAATGCGGGTCAATGGAGTCTGTGAATGGTGGAAGATAAATGTAAATTTTCACTAACTAAAACTTACAAAAATTACTTGTAATTTTTTAGTTGGACGGTGGTAAGTTTTGAAACTTTGGCATCTGGTACCCTACTTCCAGCCACTAGCGCTAAATCCTGGGTGGAGACTGACGAGTTGGCGATGTGGTGCTTATTTTTGTGGTGAAGAAAACTTGATTCTCGTTTCTCTCAAACATCCGGTACATACTTCAAACTATCAAGCACAAACCCCATGTTGTGAGCTAAGGACGTACAAAGTGTCCACCCCAGCGGTCTTTTGAGCCCATTGAGCTTACCCGGGTGCTCCTTTGCGTTAGCTACAGTCAAACCCGTTTATAACGAACAGCAAGAAATGCTACGATCAGTTCGATATAGCGAGTAATTCGATATAGCAAAAACCATTTACTATGAACTTTCACGATGCTTTCCTTGTAAGGCGAGAGCTTCTCTTTCTATCTCATCGCTTCCACCATGCAACAACGCGCTGAAAAGGTTTTCTTTTTTTTTTCTTCTTTTTTTGCATGCGTGCAAAGTGTGTTTTTTGAGCTTATCTCCCTTTCTGAATCACTTCTCTTCGTGGGCATTGGAATGCAAGTTTTGTTGCTTTTTTTCTGTGCGTGTTTGCTGAGTGTATTTTTTAGCTTTCTCCCCTTCTGAATCGCTTCTCTTCGCTCAATTTTGCTCGTAACTTGAGCTTTTGGAATTTTCTTCTTTCCTACTTTTTTTAGAAGGGAAGGGATAGGCTAGAAAACGATTGTTTGCGCGTTTTTGGAAGCCTTTCCGGGGGAAAAAAGTTTGATATAGCCAATGTGTTCGTTATAAAGAATATGTTTTACATGCATTTTTATTTGAATTTTCCGTGAGTTCGATATCGACAATAATTAGCTGTACGTGGGTTCATTCTAAACGGATTTCACTGTACTTATCTGATGAGCCGGTTCCAAACTTCGATGCTTTACTTGCACGCGCGAAGCAGCTTTGACGAGAGCCGCAGACGCTAGGACGTGACGTCCACATCGCAGCTTCCGCGGCGGTTGTCATGGTTACTGCCACACGACGCTCGTTTTCGTTGCCAATGCGTTTGGGGCTAGACAAGCTCCGAGCCCCATCTTTTTGTGGTTCCCTCCAACCTTTGCACGGGGGGTGTATGCTCGGTATGTTGTGGCGAGAGCTCGCGCGCCTTTCTTCTTCCCGTTGCGCGGCTTTTCGCATTCACACCGATTGTTCACTCAGCCGGGCGTCTTCCCGTTGTCTTCCCCTGTGCCAGGCTGGAGCTGTACCGGAAGGTGAGCAACCTGCGCATCCTGGCGTGCGGGGGAGACGGCACGGCCGGCTGGATCCTGTCGGTGCTGGACGAGATCGGGGTCACCCCGCCGCCTCCCGTGGCGGTGCTGCCGCTGGGCACGGGCAACGACCTGGCGCGCTCGCTCGGCTGGGGAGGGGTGAGCTCTCTCCTGCCTCGCCGCTCTCTCCCGGACCCCCAGGTCTCGCCCTGCACGCCGACCGCTTCGAGCCGCGGTCTCGCTACTCGTACGTCGTACGAGAGGCGTGGCATTCGTCGCAGACACGGCGACGGAATCGGACACGATTGAAGCGTATTCGAAGCATGATCGCTTCGTACGTACGCTTTCTTCGAACGTGTCTGCAGACGGGTTTTGTGTGACGTGTCAGTAGGGTGATTGTGGCTTAAGGCGCCGGGCTTGGCACTCGACTTTCCCGATTTCATTGTCTCTGTTGTAATAGTGTCACCGTGCGGTGAGTAAGTCGTCTGCTTGCGCAGGAGTTGCGGTGATGTCAGAATCACACCGAGCTCTGATTGGCTCTGATTGAGAGGGTAGTGGGTAGACCTCAATGCTACATGCCTTGAGTTCTGCGCACTAGTTTCTTCAGTCGGCCAATAAGAGCTCGGCGTTCTGACACCATCGCAACGACTGTGCAAGAAGCAGACGAACTTGTGCTCCGCATATAGCCTGTGCCCGATTTTAGCTGCAGGGCCACATTTTGACCGAGGGGAAACAGCCTTTTCTCAGGTAGTTCACGCCTGGTGCATAGTCCACTTGTAAAAACAGTTTTCATGCGCAGAAGCTTTGAAAGGTTCCTGCTTTATTAGTGTACAAAGAAGCTTGTAGTATCGTAAAAAGTTGTTATTAACCTAATCTTTGATCATCTATAAGTTCCGTCATGTGTCGTCATAATGAATGAACGATCGTACCTGTAGATATTCGGCACCGCATGAAATTTTAACTTTTAGACGTGTATAGTTTGCAGACTGTAGTCGGGAAAATGCAGTAATCTGACGTGGTTTAGGCCGCAATATTCGGAGCCTCTTTAAAAGAGGAGTGACTTTTTTTTTTTTTTTTTCACACTATAACTATGCTTTGGGAGTACTTGGTTTCTGCCACAATGTAGTAGTGCTAGCACCAAATTTTTCTAGCTATGAGTTTAAACAATTTAATCGAAAGCTCCACCTAAATGATGTTTTCTAAGCAGCTGATGATAACTAAAATACTGCAAACAACTTACTAATTTTTGCATAAACCTACCGTATTTACTCGCATATTGGTCGATACGTCGTATAGGTCGACCCCCTAACTTCGGGACCCCCGAAAAAAAAAAAAGTTTAAAAATATAATACCGGGATTCGCGTATTGGTCGACCCCCCAGTTTTGATGAGGCGATTTTTGAAAAACAGGTCGACCTATACGCGAGTAAATATGGTAGTTTGTGTGAATTTTTCAATCTGATACATATTGCAAATTATTGATCGCATGAATACATAACTTTGTAGTAACAAATACATAGCATACCACTCTCAGTTCTGAAAATCTGTGCCCACAAAATGTTTCCAAAATCCACACTTTGCCAAGTGTGCAGAAACAAAGTTGATTGCAGTATATGCTATGCTGTTATTTTCACTATAAAAAGTGCATGCATGGGATTGTTCAACTGAGGCAGTTTTCTAAAACGGGAATGTTATTCACCCAATTACAGGGCTACACGGATGAACCAATTTCGAAAATTCTGCAAAATGTTCTGGAGGGTGACATTGTTCAGCTGGATAGGTGAGCATTTGCTTCCTCCTTGACTGACTTGACTGATAAATTGTTTCGATAACTTTGTAATTGCCGGATGGCATTTCTCGTGCGTACAATAGTAACATTTGGCAGTATGTTTTGAAAGCATCACTTCCACCTCTTTCACTTTATGTAAAACTTAATGGTTCAATTACTAGTGTTTGTTAGGATATAATGGCTTGCTAATGGGAGACCATATAATACTGGCATCCACTGCCTTTTTTGTTGCTTCTAGAGCCACTAAACAAGCTACGATTTGAAGTGATGACACTTCTGTCACCCCGGTGCTTAAAATAATTGTTAACATTTATTCTAAGCTTTATCTGAAATTGCGAGAAACGGTTTTCCGTTCTCTAGAAATGTTAAACTGTCCGCAGCAGAACAGAATGATACTGCATAGGCTTTCTGACACTTGTGCCTAGAGTTCGGGAAGTTGCATTTTCAAATCGCAACGATTGCCAATTGCGACCGCCCCACACTAGGTACCGAAACGGCAGCATGCCCAACAATCGAGAAATGAAATGCCACTAGCCTAAGCAGAGCATATTTAGTGGCTTCATACATACTCGTATTCGCCGGTCCTCTATATCCGTACAGTGTAGACCGCATATAACATATGCCGCGGGAGTCGCGAAAATCCGCACTGTAAGCGGTACCGCGTTATAACAAAAACATCAATTTTTCAGGCCAAAATACATGCCATGAGACAACTTAACCATTGTAAAAGAATTTATTTTATGTTAGATGAAAAATAAAGCTTTGTTTGAGGAAAGTCTTTATTTCACCAGACTAGTACACTTCTCTCTCAAGTGTGTCACACATTATGAAAGAAATGAGCGACTTTTGCCGTCGCGGGTTGCGGACGGACGTTGCGAGCGTTCAGGATTGCTAACCCTAATCACTTTTCTCCGGTGATGAAAACGCGTGAAAATTCGAATCCTTTATATGGTACGCGCCAGTAATACCTTCAACTTGAGCACAGGCATGAAATGCTGCAAATAATAAATCCGGGCGATGTTCGAAAACACAAATGCTTAGAAAGCACCACTGTAGTCGAGGTAAACAAACACGACGACACGGGCGTTTCTGCCGTCTTGAGAGTGCCACCACGAGATCGCCGCACGAGTAGGTAGATCTTCCCTCCTAGTACGTGCTGGGTTATCATAGCGACACGCAACGAAAATTCACAGTCAAGGATAGCGCTTTTACGCAGAACGAACGCCGTCTACGTCGACGATCACAACCGACGCCATGTTTGCGAATAGAAGCCGGCCCGCGACCGGCAGACCGGCATGCAACGCGCGCAAACACTTCTCCTCGACCTGCAATTGGTCTGTTGTTGCGGTTGTTTCCAAAACGACCAACTCTGGTCGTGGTTTCCAGCGCAGCGGAGGGACGCACGCACGTGAACGACACGTGCGTGCGTCCCTCCGTCGCTATGGCAACTGAAGCCTCTCTCATCGCTCCTTGCCTCGCGAGTGCCGCTTGCAGCCATCGCCGTGGCGCCGTCAGGCGCCGTTATCTAGTGTCGCACAGGGAACCGTGCTCGCTGCGCCGGTCGGCGGGCTGTTCCAGAAACCGCACTATAACCGGTATTTCCCTTCGCGCGCCTGCATATTAAGCGGTATGTAATTACATGGAGTTCTATGGGAGGCGAACCGGTGGTTTAAAAAAAACGCGTTATACCCGGTCCTGCACTATAAGCGGTTACGTTGTAAGTGGTCTATACTGTAGTAAAAAAAGACCGCGTCCTCGCAGAATGTTACTGATTTTTCTCTTCATACGTTGAATCAGAATAGATGTAGGTGCGCCTTAAATTAGCTTTGTGTTACTTTATCGAGAGGTACACGTTTCATCCACCAGAAGCATTGCTCCTTACCACAACAATCAAATCTTGGTAAGAACTACTACTTCGCGTAGGGTATAAATAATCCGCAAAGCTTCTTTTTTACTCGATGCGACGACGAGTATAGTTGCTTTGAAGGCAGTCGACGCAACAAGCAATTGTTTCCTGGTTGGGCAAGCCTACGGAATGTCAACCGTTCCCTTCTCTCCTCTTTCCCCAGGTGGGACCTAATTGTACATAGGAATCCAGAGGTGGACATTTCTCAGTGCGAAGAAGGCAAGGAGGTTGTGCCTTTAAACGTTGTGAATAATTATTTCTCTATCGGTGTGGACGCTCACATTGCCTTGGAGTTTCACGAAGCACGCGGTGAGTCAACTCTTTCTCCCCACGTCCTCTCGCCATCCAGGGCCCCTCACCTATCTCCCATTGCACCACGGCGACAAGCGATTCGGGGGTTTTGTTTACTGCAGCCATGTTGTGACCAGCCATGTAAAGGCTGGTTCACACATTTGTTTCCGAGCGTGATAGACTGCATTGCAACTATTACGACGAGATGATGCGCTGGCCCCATATATCGGGCAGCCCCGGAACCTTTCCATCGTGCAACTAGACCGAAGGTTTCGCAGTGTTTGCAGGATCAAATCTACGCACACTCCATGAGAAATGATCACTTACAACATTGTCAGAATTACTTAGAGCCCATGGTGAAAGCATGGTGAGTAAAATGTGTGCAGATTGTAAGTGTTCCTTGGCTACCCGATAGGTGGCACTGGGTGTGCCCTCGTCTCAGGCGACCACAAGCGGTTGCAATGCAGTCGATCGCATTTAGACACAGATGCGTGAGCCAACAGATGTTAGCGCGTTACTGGCTGCTTGTCTCAAGTAAATGGGGTGCCTGTGTTTGAGTCTTCACTCAAAGGGACTGATAAAATGGACTATGTCGGGTACACGGAACCTCAATCTGCATGGGTGTACGAAAATGTGGCTTTATTGGGTCTACATGGGTGTACGAAAATGTGACTTTACTGGGTTGTGACAGGCTGGTGATGCTGGTACAGGCCATTTGGGCTATTCTTGTATAATATAAGATGCTGATTACTATAAGGAATATTTTGGTTCTTACAAATAACTTCACTATATGTAGCTAGGCTCCACAATGTTGTTTTGGCATATCAGGGCCAAAGACACCGAAGATTGTTTTGACTGTTTGTCATTTATTTCTATTGCATCCTTAGTGTACTACTTCATAGCACATGCTTTGCTCTTCCTGTTAGTTTGAACAGGAACTTGAATGGGGATACAAGTATATACTGTGTGTAAAATTACAAAACTAATTACAGCATCCTCTTTATTCATTCTTGGTTATGCCATGCTCCATAAAACTTATCTGGAACACTGTAGAATTTAGTTTCTCTTGTTGCAGAATGTGTTCTAGGAGTCATTTTCTTTGAAAAAACCGTCGTGAACAAGCGTTATTCATGAGTGTCATAACCGAGTGTCAAGAACGGGCGTTATGAATGAGTGACACGCCGGGAGCATTACACGACATTAAGGTTATGCACAAAGCTTACAAAGGCCCATGTCAAGTCAACATAAGAAGCACGCCCCAGCAGGGCTTGAACCTGGGTCGGTGCACTGGCAGTCCGATACTGTAGCCACTGAGCTGCGTGACACGGCTGCTTTGGAAGGATTGGGCTCCCATCAAAACGTGCCAGCGAGAGCAGTGTGATGTCATATCATTTGACCACTCACCTCAGTGACGTCACACATTGCAAAAAAGCCATATAAGGTAGCAACCGTGCTCCGTGCTCATTCGCTTGGTCTCGCCCTGCTAACATCTGTGGTGCACTATGAAAAAATTGGCTGCATGTCTGGCCATGCTGCCAAACACGTGTAAATGCGTTAGCTTTATAGGTTTGGGGGTGCTTTTAGTTCAGGTTAATGTTACTAGAACATCTCAGTTGGGAAACTGCCATAGAGCTGGCTCTGAAAAAGTGGCACCGATCCGTACACCAGGACCGAGCTAACGGCGACCGCAACGCCGCCATTTCTCTCGCAGCGGCCACTCGACAAAATGCACGGCTGTGTCAGTTAGAGAGTATTGCATTTGATAGCATGTGCTGCGACGGTTTTATTTTGGCTTTAATCTGCCATTTTGGCGCCGAAACATATACGGTGGAAAGGGTTTCTGGGATGCCAACCCTCGTCTCCCCAGCGGACGCTCCGCGAATTACCACCAAAGTTAGGACGCACCCAGGTCAGGACGCGCTACCTGAAATCACTGGTGAGACATGGTTGTATAAAAATAATATTAATTGTGCCGCGAAACCTCGTAAACTAAAGATTTTAGAAAACACCATGCGCCTATCATTCTTTACTCCAATAAAAGTTCCTACAGAGCTTTTTCCGTTTGTTTTTATGCAAAAACATGCTTTCTAAAAGCTTAAAGAAAAAGATTGAGCCGCCATCTTGACCCATTAAGTCTGGGAGTTTCAGTACTCTGGGAACTTTCAGTGACTCGCTAGAGCGTAGCACTGTTATCATACTTAGCTCTGTCTCAGTGGATGCCAGCGTCCCAGGTTTCAAGGGCAAGCTTTTCAACTGAGTGTTTTTGTAACGTTGGTTCAGGTGGTGCTTAGGACAGGGTTTTGTATGGAAACAGATTATGTCACACCATTATCTCTTTGTGATGCTGCATACGCTTCCCTTCAGCACCACCTGGATACAAAGCCTTTGCGCTGAATTTTCTGGGTCACCGAGAGAGGGAAAGCACGCTTTCCTGCCCTTCCCACTCCTCAGTCTGCATGCTCTTTCTACACCACCTGATTCTGCTCCTCTCTTTCTTGACCTTCCACCCTTCGGCTCCACACACTTTCTCACACCACCTGCTTCTGCTCCTCCCGTTCTGCGTGCTGGATCGGTAGCTCAGTCAGCATCGCACTCGACTTCCACGCCGGTGACCCTGTCACCGGAGCGGAATTTGATCCCTGTCACCGGTGGCCGTTTTCTTCAAGATAATTTAGTGGTTACGGACTGACAGACCTACACATTTCATGCTTATGTGGCTCGTAAGGTTGGTTGGCCCTATAAAACTACCGCTTTAAGAACTAGCACAAACCACACACGGAGTGTGGTTCGTGCTATTGTCCCGCGTGCCTGTGCGGAATGTACCGAGCGCTTGTGCGGTGTACGGGACATATTGTGCGCTCCCTGGACTTTGCCAGTATGATCAAGCAAATTGGAGGGTTTTTTTTTCCATTTAATGTAAACTTTGAATCCCTTTAGTGGCACCAGATGTACTAAACAAATGATGAGATTGGTGATGCGTTTTATTGTTTGCACTGTCATTGTCACTTAGTGTCATCTTCTTTCTTTTTTTTTTTTTCGTTTTGTACTGAGCAGAAGCTCATCCGGAGCGGTTCAACAGCAGGCTGAAGAACAAAATGTTTTATGGGCAAGCAGGTGGCAAGGATCTCCTCCAGCGCAAGTGGAAAGATCTCTGCAACTATGTGACCCTCGAGGTGAGGACCGCATCTATGTTTCATCTATAGTATGATATTAGAATCATGCATAGTACAGTAAACTTTCGTTTTTTCGATTTCGATGGAACCTTGAAATTTGGTCGAATTATCCGAATGATCAAATTAAAAAAGGAACAGAAAAACGGTTAAAATTAAACTTCCTTTTATTGTCCAAAGTACTCACGGATGGTCTGCTGCCGTCTGTGCTGAAAACGCGTGTCCAGAAGCATGCTCCTGAGAGCAGCGAAACTAAACGTCACTTGCTAAAAAAATCGCGTACAAAAACAACAACAACAACAACAACAAAAAAAAAAAAAGGTAAGTTTTACGAGCCGACTTTGGCGCCAAGCAACCAGAGCGTCAAGGACGGAGAAAAATAACAGAAAAAAAAAGAAAAAGAGAACTTGCGCTTTTTGACGCGCAAGATGGACTGCACACGATGCTACAGAAAAGCGCTTTGAGCGCGTGCTGAGAAAGCTTTATGAGCCGACTTTGGTGCTGGGCAACCAAACCGTCGGCGACTGGTAAAATAAAAAAAAAATAGAACGACAACAAGAAAGGAAAAAAAAAAGGAGAAGAAAACTTGCGCTTTCCGGCGCACAAGATGGACCACATACGATGCTACAGAAAAGCGCTTCGATAGCGCGCGCTGTCTCCGCGCCTGAACATGTGCTATGTTCTCTGCGCTACTCCACGCCAGATCGGTTGCGCTGGCTCGTGTCATTCGCTAAGCTCCGTCTCAACGACTCTACAGCAAAGGGCCCGTGTTTCGCCGTACGTTGGTGATTTTTCTGCCGTGGTGCCGTGCAATGTGAGCCGGCGCGCATTCGCTCGGGACGAATTATCCGACGCGGAGTCGTCCCGAGTTTGATTTATCCAACTTTTCCTCCCATAGAAATTTATGGGCGCTCGCCGGGACTTTTGAACCGGATCGAATTAAACGAAAAGTCAAATTAACCGAGGTCGAACTAACGAAAGTTTATTGTAGGTAATCATATTATCTGAGAGAATTGATGCCACTGTTATAAGAAAAGTTCTCACAAGGCATGCATCATAGAAAGTATTGGATGACTGCAATATTGATGATTTTTACGAACCTTATGTCAGCCAAGTATGCTTTTGCACTTGCTGTAATTTTGAACTTCAACCTTTACTAAAAACAGTTTGTTTGGCTTTTTCGTTTTCCAAAGTTTATATAAAGATTGTATTGAACTGAGGAATTCAGTTATCTTGTTCTGCTGATGTGTTTCTCCCCTTTAGAAAGTCCTGTTGCAATATGTCCCGAGAACACTTTCCCCATCTGCCACACGGTCAGCGTAAATACCAGTGGTGTAGATAGGAATTTTCTTTTTTTTTTTAAGGAGGGGACCTACATTTCTGGGGAGGGGAGGGGGGGGGGGATGGGATCTATGGAGATGGGTGGTGCGAGTTGGGAAGCAGGAGGCAGGGTGATCATTTCGGGGGGACCCGTTTGCCCACGCCACTCGTGTACAGTTTTAGGTAAAGCTGTTTAGTAAGTTCAGAAGTATTGAAGGCAAGAATTGATTGACTGAGAGGTTTGAGGATGGACCCATTCAGCCTTGTTCACCTGTTCCTCTTTTGCAGTGTGATGGCCAGGACTATACTGGGAAGTTGCGGGAACACAAGGTTCACTCCATCCTGTTCCTCAACATCCCCAGGTGAGATGCAGTGTTCTCCTGAACTTCAAGCAGCCGCTGGCAAAACGAGAAGTCGACTGCGTCGGGAACAAAAACAGGCAAATGCAACCTAGCTGCGATGAAATGGGGTTTTGTACTCTGGGCTCCAGTATATTTTTCTCGGCAGCATCAGCAAAGAAACAAATTAACGGCAAAGCAGTTTGAGAAACGCTCCACGTGACTCGTTATTTTATGTTTTGCTTTGTGATTTGTTGTTTGGCGTTTTTATTGGCAAATGCTGCAATCTCATTGGCTGCAAAGCAATAGTGAGACTCGCCATGTCCAGTAGAGAAAAAAAATGTGGTATTTTCTTGCGATTTTTACGCTGTCGCCTATATCTTCGTGATCGTTCGTGCCCTCGCCGAACGGATAGATGTCTTGTCATTGAAGTGAACTTATAAATTCGGTGTAATGTTTGCATTAAGGACCATTTCGAGAGACTGCTCTGTCAAAGCCAATGGAAATTTCACCTTATGGAATGTCAATGCTATCCTGTGTGTATCTGTGCTTGTGACCCAGCTATGGTGGCGGCACAAGACCCTGGGGAAATCCGGGCACCACCTTTGAGTCACCGCAAACCGACGATGGCCTCATCGAGGTGATTGGCCTCACCATCTACCAGATGGTGAGTTCAAAGTCCCGCATCACTTTCCGGGGTCACCTTTCTCGTTCGGGTCTCGTCGGACTGGGTGGCTCATGACGCATTATCGATGCGATCTGCGGCTTCTTACGGCAATTCCTTGCGGCGGCGCAGATTGGCTCAGGAGCTGGTGGAAATCGTGGAGATGAAAGGATGGCATTAAATCGTTACAGTTCTAGTCACTCTTGAGTAGTAATTCAATTACAGTAATTTAATTACTTTCCTAGTCATTCGTTGTCATAATTAATTACTTTTAAAGGTGATTATAGTTGTAATTTAATTACTTTTTAGCTGCAGTAATTGCAGAATATCAAGTATACTTCCAACTTCTTTTTCAAAGTCTTGCAACGTTTGAGCTTCATTACCGTATTTACTCGAATGTAACACGACCACGATTGTAACGCAAAAGGTAACTTTTCACAGCACAAAAAAAGAAAAAAACAGAACACGAATGTAACGCGAGTTAAGTGAAAGGAAAAAAGTACCTTAAAAAGTACTACAACGTGGTCCGCGGAAGCCTTTTGGGCCGGGTTCACACTTGAAGAGCACTTCACGCTGGAGCCTCCACCCACGGATAGTCGATTCTGTCACATCTACCCGTTGAGCCGCGGCAGAGTTTCCGATTTCCCCAGCCATCATAATTGCACTTCTTTTAAAGCGGGCGTCGTACTGAGCTCGTCGCGTCGCCATTCGCTCGAGTCCAGTCGCAGAAGCACGTAGCAGCAGCTCACAAAAGACGGACAACACGGGCACATGTGTACGGTAACCCTTACAGAAAGAGAAAGCGTTGTGAAGGTAACCCGTAACCCTAACATGGGTGCAACGACTCGCAAACAAGAATAGGATTGGATTGGTTGTTTCCAGCGTGTATATGTTGCCAGCACAAGATTGAAAGATCGCGAGATTTGTTGTAGCCATTTTAAAGAGCCTGTGCTGCGACACCGCCAAGGCAAGTTTTGAGGCGTTTTGATTATAACGCGAACCCCCAAATTAGGTAAGGGAAATTTGAAAAAAAAAAAACTCGCGTTACATTCGAGCAAATACGGTATATACAGTCAAACCCGTTTATAACGAACAGCAGGAAACGCTACGATCAGTTCGATATAGCTAGTAATTCGATATAGCAGAACACATTTACAACGAACTTCCAAGATGCGTTCGTTGTAAGGCGAGAGCTTCTCTTTCTTTGTCACCTCTTCGCTTCCGCCTTGTAACAACACGCTGTAAAGGTTCTGTTTTTTTTTCGGGGGCGTGCAGGCTTTGTTAAATTTTTTTAGCTTATTTTTCTTAAATCGCTTCGCTTCGTGGGAAACCGTTTTGAGATGAAAAGCTTTTTTTTCTGTGCGTGCGTAGAAAGTGTATTTTTTAGCTTTCTCCCCTTCTGAATCGCTTCTCTTCGCTCAATTATGTTCGCAACTTGAGCTTTTGAAATTTTCTTTCTTTACTTTATTTATTTTCTTTTGGGGGGGGGGGGGGGGGGGGGGGCAGGGCAGGCTAGAAGACGATTGTTTGCGCGTTTTCAGAAACTTTCCCGGGGGAAAAAGTTCGATATAGCCAATATATTGTTCGGTATTAAAAAAACTTTTTACATGCATTTATATTTATATTTACTGAGAGTTCGATATCGACAATAATTCGCTGTAGGTGGGTTCGTTCTAAACAGGTTTCACTGTAGTGTAACTCACAGCCAAAAATACGCTGAGTGTCTTTCACAAATTGCCCCTTTTTCCGCCAATTCGTGGGACTTTGAAACAAGCGACATCGCGTAAAGGCAGGACTGTGCACGCAATGTTGGGCGGAGGTGAAACAAAGGCACAAGATGCAACGAATGTAAGACGCGGTAAGATGAATCCTTAGTGGTTGGACAAGAAACGGACAAATACATCTCGGCGCACAGTAATGCCACCACATCCACACATTGAAGCCTGGTAGCTCTCAGAGTGAAGTAACTGCGAAGTAATCGAAATCACTTTCCGAAAGTGACGTTCTGTTGCGATCATTTTAATTTCGTGCTCTATAGTTCTTTGAAACTCAAGACGGTAGCCTGAGAGAAGGTGGTTTCCCCCTCTCTTCTCCAGCATTCCGTCTGCTTCCTCCTCCCCAGCCCGTCTTACCCTCGCTCTACCTTCTTGAGTTGCAACGGACTATAGTACCAATTCGTACCGTCACTAAATTACATTTCAAAAGTAAATCACCCAAGTACAGTTCCGGCCACGGTAATTACGACGGCGCCACTTCTTGATGACGATTGGGGCGCACGCCCCCGCGCTTGCAGCCGTTCCTGCAGGCGGGAGGCCACGGCACCTGCCTGTGCCAGTGCCGCAGCGCTCGAGTGGTGACGAGCAAGACGATCCCGGTCCAGGTGGATGGGGAGCCCTGTCGTCTGCTGCCCTCCTACATCCAGCTGAGCATGCGCAACAAGGCCTGCCTCGTCGCCAAGGCCAAGGTCCGTCCCCACCGTCCGTTCCCTCAATTTCGGTCCGCACGCTTGCGTTGAGTTCAGTCGCTACGGCCACTTTTGGTGGCTTTTGACGAGACGACACTCGCAGCATCTTGGGAGTAGCACCCGCAACCCCAAAGTACGACCGTGAGTGCACGAGCCGGCCTCGACGCGTAGTGCTCGCTTTCCAGAAAATTGAGGGCGTGGGATGGTGCGGCGGGCCGTCTGCCTTCTTCCGCGTATTTCCCCCAAATCTTCCGTGGAAGTCGGTTTGTGGGACGCCACGGATTTATGCCGACTTTCTTTGTGCACACTTTGAAAGGGTAGTTCTGTGCCTGGCAAACTTGGACAAGACTGCTCGTTTGCGTTTTGGTTTGTCGTTTTCTTTGTTTGTGTCCTCTGCGTACATGTGGCATTTGGGCAGTCTATCGATCTTCATGCATCTTCGTGTCTTGGTTGTCCCGATGTGTCGCCACTATTTTGTGCGTTGATTAATTACTTTCTATTTAATCTAATGACAATGTGAATGCAATCTGATTTTTTTTTGGCATTTAATCTGAGGATTAGCTTTGCAGTACTCTTTTTTTAAACTGTTATTCAATCTTTTATTCAAACATAATAATGGCCACATAAAAAAAAAAGAGTTACATCATAGTTTTTCGAGAGTGTGTTAAATAGAGCTGTTGATGTAGTCTATAGATTGTTCTTATACCTAGATTGATTTGTTTGATACTGTCAGAATGTAGCTTTCTTGAACCAGAGGGAGATTTTACAAAGGTACTACTTACATGGTTGAATAACCTGAATGATGTTTCACTTAGGGTGCCTTCATGTGCGCTTTGCTTAGGGTGGTGGCATCTCGCCATTTTATCCCACACGTTTATTTTTACTTTTTGTTCAGAAGCGCGTGAAAGAGTGTGTTTCTGCACGCGTTTGTGACGCTGACTGTGCTATGGCGACATTTTGTTTTCGTTGATTTCTTTGTATTTTCCCAGCGAGCGCGTGTTGTCGGCATCGGGTACTACAAAAGGTGGCATCACCCTAAACAGAACGACATTGAGGCACACTAGTTTACTTACATATGATAGTTTTGTGTTCCATGTGTTCATTGCTGAATTCTCCTGGTTTCTTTATAACAGTGCTGCTTCAGTATTTTTTTTTTTCTAACACATATTGTTTTTTCTTTCCCACTACAGATTCACAACCAAGTGCCAAGCCAGTAAGTGTATTGATCTTTGATGTCTTCAGTCAAGTGCAAAAGCATACGTTAGGGCAAAAGGATGTCAATAAATTTTTGAATTGATTTTTAATTATGCTAAGTATAATAGGATCAGGAAGCTTGGTGGTATACAGAACAGCGCTCAATAACTTTAGCCAGTGGTTCTCAAATAGGGTCCCGCGGTACCACTGGGGTCCATGAAACCCTCGCCTCAACCCCCCCCCCCCCCCCCCCCCGTTCCCCCATCTTTTCTTGAAAAAAAAAAAATGATTGCTTGTTTTGTTGACCCTGGCTAGGTGGCGCAAGCTACCACCCATTATTAAGGGTACAGCCATTACCAGCTGTTTATTTATTCTTCTTTTCACTTGATGCTTCTCACTTTTCCTGCCTATAACACTAAAGAATGTCTTTTTAACATTGTAATTAGGTTGCCTTATTTTATACCCCTTCCCCTTCCCCTGGTGACATGGGGTCCCCCATCGTTTCAGCGGGTCCCTAACGGGTCCCTGACACATCAATGGTTGAGAACCACTGACTTAAGCTTTCATGCACACAAATTTAGAAACTGAGATACTGTAGCCATAGCTAGAACTTTAGACAAGCTTGAGCTTAAATATTGCTTGCATGTTGTCATATATGTGTGTTGGTCTCAAGGTATTATCTCTGCTTAGCTAGCTGAAGAAAGCTTTCTATTAAACTGGAGCTCACAATTTAATGTTTAACACCAGAACCTCAGCAGTGCTGTGTTGTGTGATTAAGTAAAGTTTATTTTATTACATCAAACAATGTACTTCCTTTCTTTTACAGTCTGCCACTCGAAAAGCTAACCATTGCCATCCGCAAGCTGAACATGGCGGACTACGAAAACTACCACTATGACAAAGAGAGGTTACGAACACTTTGTAAGTTTCTGACCGTCTCTTGTGACGCCCGTATTACAGTCTTGTCACTTAGTGTGGATACCTCCGTTCCACGGAAAAATATTTCATAATAACAATTGAAGGTTAAGATCACGAGTAAAAAATAATAAACAACCCGCATGAACACAAAAAACACTGTTCTCAACAAAAGCTTGGAGCACGCCTAAGCTTCGCCTTTAAGAGTGGAACACGATAGTGTTATCGGACCCTGTTCGCAAAGCCTTCTGATATAAACCTGCGCTCAGTCCCAAGCCGTGCAAATGTGTGTGCGCGGCTTAGTGGGTAGCGTCACGTCTCACGTGACATTGCACGTGAGCGTTGCGGGTTGTTTGAAATTCCCGCGCAAGGTCATGTGGCATGGCGTCACACAGGCGACGTCACGTATGACGTCACACGTGTCTTTGACGTCATGACTGTGTCGGCCCACTAAATTTGGCAGCAAAATGTTCTGCTACATTTAGCGGAAAGTTTTCTCGCCAAATTTAGCGGGTCGATAGGGTAATAACGTCACAGCCCCGTGCGACATCACAGCCCCGTGCGACGTCACAGCCCCATGCGACGTCACAGCCCCGTGCGACGTCACAGCTCTGTGCGACGTCACAGCCCCGTGTGACGTCACAACCCTGTGTGACGTCACAGCCCTGTATGACGTCACACGGCGCTGTGACGTCATGACCCTATCGACCGATCGAGATTTTATGGTGCCACCAACGTTGACACGGACACCGGATTTTTTGCGATACGAGCTCTTTGATGCTATTGTGTTAATTCTTAGCTCCCACTAAAGGGTGAGGGAAGTGTCCTTCCTTTTCAAGTACACATTGCCCATGAATGCTCTCTAGGTTTCCCATCCGCAGCCTTGAGCAAGTAAAGAGAGAAACGGGCAAATAACCCATTTGGCCCAAAACCTTAAAAAAAATTTCAGTTCCCAGGTTCTGTCTCTTCATCAGGAAGGGCAGCCTAGAGTCACAGCAGACAATAGTGACCCAGAGGCTTCAAAAATCTTTACCTTTTTGTGTGTGTGTGTGTTTGTGAACCATCTTTGAAAGCTCATGTCCATAGTAGTGAGACAAAATGCTCATACTGAGCCAGTTTGCTCCTAAACTAGCTGTTCATAGTCCAGGTTGCGGTGGGTCCTTGAACATTTTGCCTGTATAGCGTGTCCATATTAATGAGACGTGTGTCCATATCACCGTAATATTCCGAGAGATAGCCCACCTAATATCAAGATCAAATGGGGTGAAAATATGGAGTGGGCTAACTTTCACTGTTTAGAAAATGCTATTTTTAGGCCGTGAGTCCCATGCAAGCTTGCTATGGCGGCGAGGGGCAACGAAGCAAAGATTACTGTACATCCCAATCAGCGACGTTCGACAACTAGCTGGATATAAGCAGAGACCATTATTGACCCCAACACTACTATTACTAGGAGTAGGCTATCTTTTGTGTTTAAAAAAATATAGCAAATCAAGCCTAAAAATACTGGTGGGCTATCTTTCAGGGGTGGGGCATCTCTCGGGAATTTACGGTAGTGAGCCATGAGTGTATGCGGGGCTCTGTCGTCGAGAGGGTAGTCGCTGAGGACCGTCTTTTTTCTCGCAGCGACCCCGATCGGAACGCTGAGCGTCAATCCGGACACGGACCTTGAAAACGTTCGGTTACTCATCAACCAGCTCTGCTCCGTGAGTATCTCTTGCATTCATAAACTGACCAGATTCTTTTGTCAAGGAGAGCTAGAAACACTAGTGAAAAAAGTAAAATATATGAATGAGTCCAACAAATTGATGCCTTATGTAATTTACATAAGTCTTGATATGTTTATTAGACAAATCATGTATAAAACATTTTTCAATAAGGTACAACCTTCTTGATGCCTCAAAATGGCTGTCGTTTTTAGGGTTCCAGGAAAATCGTTTTCAAGTTTCATTTTAATACCAACTTCTGCTACCTTGATGCTTTGTTTAGATGCCATCTTCAAAGGAAATCTGTTGATCATACTATATAGTAATAAAAAAGCTTTTTTTTTTACATAGGGTTATAGAAGCTTATTTAAGCTTACAAACAGACAATCTGAAGTTCTTAGAGGTTGCCCACAAATTTATGGGAATGTGTCTGTACCAAATGTACAGAAACACCCCCGTAATTTTGTGGAGGTATGTTAAAAAATTTACAAACTTCATTTCTTTCTGCAGCTCGAGGGATCCGATGGCCAGAACCTGTCGCCATCCAAGAGGTTTTCTCCAGACTGGTGCTTTCTCGACTGTGAGTACACTGCAGAATGACACCCTGCTCATGGCCACATGTATGTTTTGTCAGAAAAGTACAGACTACACATGTCGAATTGCTAGGCAACTCTGTTGCATGCGGGAAATGTTACAGCATCACAAACGTTTGTATCATCGTTTAGCAGCACATCTAGCCTGTTCAGCCAGGCGCCTACGTTCACAGCGCTCTTCGTCGGATAATTTAAGGCGTGGCATGTGCAAAACAATAAACCTGGTGATCTTCCAGAATCTTCTAACCCATTCCTCCTCACTCCACCCCTGCTCACATGACCTCCCAGTAACCAATCAGCGTCGAGCACCTCACTCCTCTCTTACCCGTCAACCAATCGGCGTCGAGCCTCGCGGCCACGCTTCGTGCGTTCAAAGGCCTCGTCAGTGACTGAAGACAGCGTACCCTTCTTTACAAACAGTTTACCCGATACGTATTCATAAACTGTTCGCAAAAGTTTTAATTCGTGTATTTATGTTCGGCACAGTGCCACCACTCTTCGATTCGTATTCGATTTGGTCTCCGAAAGCACGGCCCCATTCTCGCGAACGATTTTCTGCGGCCACGCGGTCGAAGCTACGGGCGCTCGTGCACCTTGAGCACCAATCAGAGCTGCGCACGTGCACCCCTCACTTCGTCCGAAACGCCGCAGAAAGTCGTTCACGAGCGCAGTCTCTGCGTGTTGGAAAACTCACGAAAGCACCGTCGCCGCTCGCAGCATGCACGGCGGAGCGGTTTTTCCGCATCGACCGGGCGCAAGAGATGCTCCACTACGTGGTGGACATCAGTCAGGACGACGTGTACATCCTGGACCCAGAGCAGAGCCCCATTGCTCCGGAGCCTCCTCCGCCCTCACTTGCATCGCCCACTCCGCCGCTGCTCGCTTCCCCGCCGGCTGCGGAGACGCCGGCCATTGAGGGCCCGGCCGGATCCGTCCTGGTGGAGCTGGCCTCCTCCGAGACGCTCTCGTCGTCTGCCAGCTGCGCTGCGTCTGCCGACGAGGCCCCACTCTTCGGAGGAGTCCAGGAGGAGTCCGCGTGGAGGTACGTCGGCGTTTTCCGCCGCGTTTGGCCTCCGAACATTCCGGTCCAACCGATTTTACAACTGCTCAATCTTTTTGCGGGGAAGGTGGTGTGTGTTATTAGCAGAGAGCCTTATGGGGCTGGTTCTTGTCAGATTAGCATCGTGTTAAGAGAGAGCGCCACAAAAGATTGTCGCGCAGCCCCGAAATTCGCTAAATATACAGTAAAGCCTCGTTATAACAAAGTTGAAGGAGCGGTCGTAATTATTTCGTTATAACCATTAGTTTGTTATAGCCAATGTCCATTTCTTCCCACTATTAGCAAGCAAGGGGAATTATGATTGCTTTGTTATATCCATTAGTTTGTTATATCACATTTTGTTATAATGAGGTTTTACTATACCTTGCTTTAGTAAGTCCCAATAATTGATTTATTATCATATTAGCTCAGTTTAGTAGGTCCTGCTAATTAATTGGCAAATTAACTCAATTTAGCGAATCCTGCTAATATATATTACTATGTCAGCATTATTTTGGTAAATTTGGTAGGTGCCACTAATTAATTAATGATCATTTTAGCTACATTTAGTAAGACTCCCTAACTATTTATTATATTAGCTATATTTAGGAAACCGTACTAAATAATTGCAACTAAATTTAGCCAAATTAGCTCTAAGTTTTGTAAATCCTGATAATTAAATATTGTTAATTAAATAATTATTAATTATAATGTAAGAAAAAAAAATCATGAGCCATTCTGCTCTGTGGACATGGATGACCAGCGAAGCTGTTTAGCACACGACACAGACCCTGCGCCTAGGAGCCGGAGGAAACCAGACATGCGCGGCGGGACTGCCGCCCGGCGGAAAGTAGACAGGTGCGACGGGAGAGCGAAGGGAAGGAAGCAAGGCACGCAAGCACTTGGAACGACAACAAAGAGAGAGTTGCGAGCGTAGACGTGACCAACGCGGGTCGCACAGCGGAAAATCTTTGAGAAACTTTTGTTATCTAGCTGAGAGTCTACTGATCTTGAAAATGGTGCCTCTTGATGACTAATCTGCTGAATAGACCTACTGCTAAATTACCCAGGCCTCGAGGAGAATGCAGGGAATGGTGTTGCACGTGCCGGCGTCTGCTGCGGTAACTGTTCCAAAGCAAATGCCTAAAACAAACGGCATCTTACATGCGCGTTCGTCAATGCTTTATTTTGGTTATTTACGTTACATTGGCTCAGCCAATGTAACACTGGCAGTTCTTTTAAAGATTTAAGTTCTGAAGCTGGACATTACCTGTCTTAAAAAAAAAAAAAAAAGGAAAATCGTGAAGTCGAAAGAAAAAGGGACAGACAGGGTCTCAAACTCAGCTAAAAACTTTATTGCCTCTACGTCTTGTATACACCTCCCCCGGACGTCGAACGTCGCCACCACCATGGCGGTTGGTCACTGAACTACAAACAATACACTGGAATGACAACACACCAAACTGCAACCAATACATAAAAAAAAAAAAGCGTTATACAAAGAGAAACACAAGGTTGTCACCACCGCACCCAGAAAGACTTCGACGCGGGCAATGTAACACCAGCACTTGGAAACACAAAAGACCGTCTCTAACTTACCGCCCTTTCCCCTGTCCTGAACCATGAATCACACTCAGTAGACAACAATGCCCCCATTACGATCCCGAACTCAACAATGCAAACAGCTGCGAAGCAGCCTCCTCCCCTGTTACGTTCACCCCACATTAGGTCTTCACAGTCGAAGAAACTTTTTTGACTCACTTCCAATTTGCACTGACGCTTGGTTAATGCAATTTCCTGATGTTTTTATGCAAACAGTTTCTCGCACAACACGTCTCATCTCCTCACGCTCTTTGTGTATGTTTTCTGTCTCTGACCAGTTCGCTGTGCATGCATTACACTCCTGGAGATGCCTCGCTAGTTCAGAGTTTGAAGCGTTAATCCGCACATTGCGTTTATGTTCTGTTAACCTATCGTTAATGCATCTTGCCGTCTGACCAACATATTTAAAGCTGCATTCCAAAGGAATTTCATACCCTACTCCACTGACACATGGAACGGATCTTTCGCGATGCATTTTTTTACATTTTTTTTTTGTCCTGCCTCAAAAGGAGTCAGTTTAGCTAATTTGAAATCACATGTGAAAACAGTTTTTTTTTTTTTTTTTATGTATTGGTTGTTGTTTGGTGTATTGTCACTCCGGTGTATTGTTTTAAAAAAAAATGTTTTAGGGGCGAAGCTCCTTAGGGTCTAGCCTTGTCCGTCCGGCATCCGTGCTCACATCGATTGCCATCCCATCTGTCTTCTTAAAAAAAGAAAAAATGTTTTTGCAGTTGACAGGGTTCGAACCTGTGCGGGGAGACCCCAATGGATTTCTAGTCCATCGCCTTAACCACTCGGCCACGACTGCGGGACGAGTAGGGGGCTCTGAGATGTGGTGGTAACTCAAGAGCTGGGGTTTCTGTCGTGGATGATACGTTGCATGTAGCCGCTCAACGTCTATACAGGAGAGGGCGCTGCGGTCAAATGTGTATATGATCGCGTTAAACTTTGCATGCATTGGCTCAACGTTTATAGACGAGAGGGCGCTGCAATCAAATGCTCAAATGCGTATAAAACCACGTTCCATACCTCACATTCTCTTTCTGACATGGATGAAAATGAACGAAAAGCTCAACATGCTGCGGCACTACCTATAAACAAAATCAGTATTAGTATCAACACCACCAACATTTTTTTTTTTTTTTTTTTTTTTCTTTTTTTTTTTATATATATATATATAAAGCAGCATTTAGCATTTGTGGCAGGTGCTGTTTCTGAACTATCTGGGGGATAAATGGCCCGGCACCGTTTCCTTGCTTAAGAATTCTGTAAATCAGTTTGGGCTTTTTAAATTGGATAATTTTGGTTCTGAGGGTTTCTTTTAGTATTTGATCCCATTGCTAACGTCATGTTTAGGTGGAGTGTCAGGTCCCTTGAATTCATACTTCGTTTGTGTGGGGCTAAAAACATTGTTTGGCTTTCTTGCTTTCAGCCTATAAATTGTTTGCCTCTATCTGCCAGATACATTGGATGCACCTCAACCTTTATATCATATTACGGATGAGGCATACCATAACTGAACGCTATGCACCCACCTTAAAAACAACTTTTCTTTTTTCTTTTTTCTTTTTTTTTTCAGTGGTCCGATTTCGAAAAGTGAAGGAGGAGTATCCAGGTAAGCCTACGAATTTCCAACGTTTTGTTTTTTTTACTTGTAAAGTTGCAGATGTCTTTGCTCTATTACAACGATTACAAACTCGCATCACAGATTTTAAGGAGCAGTTCGTGTTGTGTGTGTCTCTTCTTACCAACTAGCCCAATCCAAAGTTTGTAATTTAAGGAGCATTTGGGGATTCTTCTTTGTCGAAGTTCTAGGAGAAAATCAAGAAAGTGATCTTTCAAATATAAGCAACCTTGTCTTCCACATCCTCATGGAGTAGAATGCAGTGGTATCTAAAGGTCAATGAAGCTGTGCCCGATTGCATTCTCGAACATGCCTGGTATCTTCAAAAGCACTGCATCTCCATTCTCTGTTAAATAATTTTAAATTCCTACCCCTGTGTGTCAATTTTGAGAGGTATACCCATCTTGCTCCCCAGCCCTTCAATTTCTCTTTAGAGTGCAAAGCGAAGCGCCTGCGAGATCTTTCTATCATATGGCAGGATCTCACATGATAACCGCATTTTCTAAAACCAACCACAATGTTTTTCTCACTCCCGTTTTTCTTGTTTTTTTTTGTTTTCTTTTTTCTTTGTCAAAGTTGAAGCAATTTTTGACGTATGTTTTGTACCTCGAAATTGAAGGTGCTCCTGTACGAAATTCCTTTTTGTTTCTTAGGTTTGCACCAGAACAGAAATCGTCGACATCAAACGGTAATCACGAATTTCCTTCTGCCTCGTTTTTATTTGGACAATGTGTGGCTAGTTGTCCTGCCGTCCTGCAACCTTCCCTTGCGGTTTTTAGCCCCCCATCATGAAAAGCCTTCTCACGTTTCTTTGCACCGAAAAGTCTGTCAATGATTTAGTAATACTGCCTCACGTGTTCTCTTTGTTTTACTTCCTGCTAATGTCCCTTTCCTTTGCATTTACGAGTGGATGTCAGCTGTAACGCCCGCTAACCCATTAACATGTTGCCTTGCAGAAATAATTGTTGCTGCCAAAATGGGGGACCTTCTAAGGGTAGGTTGACAGACCTCGTCCTTGCTTTGTCTGCTAACTGTGGGTGCTGGGCAATGGAGGAAATCGCTTGTTTGCTCCTTTTATTTGGTGTGGCAGTCCCCTCTCTAACCCTTCTTGGCCAGGTTAAGATATGCTCATCTTTACTCAACTAACAGCTTGCTTACGTGTTGTCTATTTGCTGTTTATTGTCTTTTGCAATAAATTTTTTGTCTAGTATTATTTGAAACATGCCGATACAGTTAAATATTTGCTGCATATTGAATCGTGAGTTACTCTAGCTGAATCACCTGACATTGTGTTTAGACTGAATCACAACTTCTCCAACTTTCTTGCTTTCACCCTCATGTAATGCATCGCTAGATGGTTTTAAGGTAAAATAAATGAAATTAATAGAACACTTCTGCAGTAGTGTCTACATCTACGGATGGTACTGTTATTCACCTACTAGTCTTTGTTTATTGTACATTAGAGAGTTTGGGTCATCATTTCGAGACATCAGATTTAATGTTGGTGTTTTAGTTAGCATTGCTGACTTTTCTTCATACCACTTACTGTAAAATAGCGGGGAAGTGCCCACCCTACTTTAGCTTACAATTTGCAGATTTCCCAAGAAGTTTGGGAAATTTTAATAGTGGGCGCTTGTCCGAAGTCGAAGTGGGCACTTTCGCGGTATTTTACGGTAGTCTTCGTGACCTAACTTGCAAACTTGAAAACAAACGATTTCATTTTTGTAGTGGCATGAGTTGTATTTTTTATTCCTTTAGTTTGAAATTGTTTTTGTCTTGTACAAGCTGATTAATTTACTGTACCACCTACTTATTGCAGAGCCAAAGTCAGTTGTATATTTAAATTTTTTATGAAGTATGTTTAACATTTCTGTGTGCGCTTTAAGCAGGAAGATACAAACACAAACAATTGTTTTCTTGCTATCTTCAAATTAAAAACAAATTGTACTGAAGGCTGCTGTAACATTTATTTATACAAAATGAAGGTATAGCAAAAAGAAGACATTGCAAAGAATGCTTTTGACTGTGTCGGTTTTATCAAAATATAAATAGCTCATTGCCAGAAAACACATTTTTTTGCATGAAATAGGTTTAGGGGAGGAATTAATCATGTAACACCCTACACTGTGGTGCAAAAAAGTTGAGAGACTTTCAAGTTAAAAAAAAAAAAAAAGAGGACAACAGTGGGAGAACATCTCCCCGACAACAAGACGATAACAGTAGGAGAATGTTGAGACGTCTACTGTTGTCTTTTTCTCTCGACTTGAAAGTTTCTTCATTTTTTCACACCACAGTCTCGGGTGTTACAGTATGATTAATTATCACCAGCTCGCCTGCACACTCACTGCTGTTTCGTTAGCGGGGTTCCTTGATATAAAAAAATTCTGGCAATTTTATTTTTTACTTATGTAATTGCACACACTACCATGAAATACCGAGCAGGTGCCCACTCAAAATTCTGAGATAATGCTTGGTTTGGCTTGGCCTGGCCTGGCCACTTGGCAGCTTAATTGACTTAATAACTGCAAGCGCAGGCAAAAAAAAAAAAAAATCAATACTTATTGTTGTTGTTATTCATTATGTGAGTAAATAGAGTAAATAGTTTATTGAAGATTTTTTAAAATTTCTCAGAAGCAGGGGTGGGGCGCTTATTGTGTCATGGGCGGATGCTCGGTATTTTACGGTAATAATACTTCAAAGACTTCCTCAGTATGTCTTTGTGGAAAATTGCATCTCTCAAGGTCACAGGGCTGACATCACTAAATCTATGGCACAATGAAATTAATTACACCCTATTTCCTCAGCTTCATTTGCTGCTTGAGTCGATGATGCACAGTGCCCTGGTCACTGTTTAACTTCCACATTATCATTTTGTGGCAGCTGCGCCACCTTTGTGACGGCGGTCAGAGCCTCTTGACGCTGGACGACGCCGGCATGAGTACGCTTCACCACGCGGCGCGCTACGGACACAAAGACCTGGTGCGCTACATCGTCGCAAGTGGTGAGGGGGCGCTTTCAATTTCCTACCCCTGGTACACACTTTAGTGCAAAGCTGGTAACAAAGCATTCAGAGAGCTGCACCATTTTCCGAACATTCTTTGTTGTAAAATGTCGCATATTTGCAGCTGGCTGCATATTTTCTGGACTGTAGTATGCACCCAACGTATAGTCTGCAGGTGCGAAATTAGGCTGGAAAAAAAAGTTTCCTTTAGGTAGTTAATGTGCGCATAAAAATATTCTCGGATACCTCATACCTTAAAAAAATCTCCTCTTAATTAGTGCACAAAAGAAGCTTGTATTATTGCAAATCATCATTAACATCTGCCGTTCACAAAATCTCACATTTTGTCATGACGAACAATCTTGGAAAAACTAGTCTGTACAGCACCACATCTGTAGATGGTCTATACGACATAAAATTTGAACTTTTAAACGTGTATACCTAGTCCAGAAAATATGGTACCTTCAGACTGACTTTTCCCAAACCGAAGCGACTTGCCCTACTTCTGAGCTCTTCATGGGTGTGCGTAGTTTTGGAGCAGCTAACTTTAATTGCAAAAATGTAGTCTAAGAGAGGTTTGGCTGTCAGTGAACTCTATAAGAGAAAAGATTCCCTGTTCCACACTCATTTATGATTTGAGACTCTTTGAGTAGAATCCAGCATCAGTTGGGAGTGCTCTTACATCTCTTACCTGTGAAGTGAATGTATTTGGCGTGGTGAAGGGTGACAGTAGTATTATAAGTAAATTATTACTCTTCAAAGTACCATCTTATTGCGTTATCTAGTAGATTGGAAAGACAACATTGTCCTCTGTACAGTTAAACCTGGATATAACGAAATTCATAAAAGTTAGCAATAATTCGTTACATGGAGGATTTCATTACATGCCGTTTTCGCGGAAAAACTCGTAAAGGACACGTGGAAAGAAAGCGAAAATTAAAGATCCACGTGGGCAGACTCACCATTCATTTATTTAGTGGAAAAGAAGTCTGTAAGCTTGCCTTGTGTCTTTCGCGCGAGCGAAGGCAGCACGCAGCGCTCAAAGGACACCAAAGCGTTTAGAGCACTGTCGTCGACCTGGGAGCCGGCAATCCGGCATAGTACATCAGTGGCATCCAAGATCTTCTTCGCGGTAGGCACCACAGGCGGTTCAGTAGTTTCAGATGATTCGCCATCGTCCTCGATGTCTCGTATGCTTTCAACCACGGCTTGGTCTGATACTTCCACAGTTGTTCGCGTATAAGAAGTCACTCAGTTGGACACCGTCAGGAACCACTCCGTTTGTGCACAGCCCACTCCAATCTTCAGGCTTGACGGCTCCTCTTCACCGTCGTCTGTCGTGACATGCGTGTCCTTGACTATCTGGGCCTTCCTAAAGCAATTGACGATGGTCTGCATTTTATTTCTTGCCAAGATGCCGCAAGCACCTCGATTGCTCGGAAGATGTCAGTCTTAGTCTCCCGGTGGAGGTGAATGTTCAGGAGCAGTTGTGCAATCAGTTGACGTCGGTAGGCGCACTTTACGCTGTTGAGGATGATACCTTTGTCAAGGGGCTGAATCAGTGACGTGCAGTTGGCCGGAAAATACTGCAGCTCAATGTTCGATAACACGAGGCCTTCCACATGGTGTGCTGAACAGTTGTCTAAAAAAAAAAGCACACCCGGCTGTTCTGCTTTCTCACCGCTTCGTTGAACTCGTTTAGCCACTCACGGAAAGTGTCCCACGTCATCCACTCTTTAGGGTTTACCAAATACTTCACAGGCATTCTTTTCATTCCTTTGAAGCACCTGGGCCAAGAGCTCCTTCCAATAACGAGCGGCGCGTGCTTGTCAGATCCATCACTGTCCGTGCAAAGCAAAACCGTCACTTAAAGTTTGCTTTATTTGCCTCTATGACAGCGGTCTCCTTTTAACGTGAGCGTGCAGCTCGGAAGCATCTGGAAAAAGAGGGCCGTCTTGTCGGCGTTTTACAGATCAGCCGCTTTGTAACGATCCAAGATCTTCGGTAGCTCGTTATTCACCCAGGAAAAAGCACCACCTTGGTCCGTGGATGCAGATTCTCTGCTGATAACTTTCCCGACAACTCTGTGTTGACTTTTAAATTCTTGTAACCAGCTGGTTACTTTCCGTGAAATCATTGTGGCCTAAAATGCACGCTTAATCCCTTGCTTTTTGCTGAAGTACTACTGCACCACTAAAGGTATATCCACACGACGGACCGGGCCGCGGACCGATTGATCACGTGATACGCGGCCCGCGGGCCGCCCGGCTGCAATGAGCATCCACACGGCGGACCAAAAGAGCAGACGACAGAGCGAACGGGCCGGTCTAACCCTCGACCTCACAGCTCGGCAAAACGCATGCAGCGAGCTGCTTTGAGGCTATTTGTAAGGAGCCAAGATGGGGGTTGAACGAGAGAGGTTTGGCCGCGGTGGCCCTGGCGTAAGTGAAGCGAAAAAGGCACGGGGACGTCTTTAGATCATTATTTGAGTAGTCGTCGCGAATATTGTCCCACAGAGCGGGGAATTGCTCCACGAGCGCGATGAAGTAAAATGTTCCATCGTCGCACAACAAAAGGTTCGTCTTCTTCGTCTTCAACAGTTGGCGCCAAAAGAAAACGACTTTGGATTTGGATTCCAATCCAAACAACAAAAGTCAGCTTGTTGCCAGACTTAGCACTTCAATTATATTAAAAACGCCGCGGTCCACCGCCAAGGTCCGGGCGAAAAAAGCGCTTGGCATTTCTCACAAGCGCGGGCCGCGGACCGCCGGCGGACCTCGAAAAGCGGTGACGTAAGATCACGTGATGCGCGGCCCGCGGACCAAAACAGCATTTTGGTCCGTCGTGTGGATACACCTTTATAGGGGCATTTTGCGCACGCATGTCTAGGAACCACGTGAATAGCGATTTGTCCATGTCTGCGCAGGTTGATGACTTAAGCCTTTTCTTCTTGGAGCTTGTGCTGGCTTTCATTGCATTCTAAATTGCGTCTTTTGGGCCCGAAATTGATGACAGGGAGCTCGCTGGAATGCCAAAACGGGCTGCAACGTCCATTTTTCTGTCACCCTTAGACACCGCATCCAGGATAGCGTCTTTGTCTTCAAGAGACAGAACTTTCCATTTATTAGTAGCGGAGCTCATGCTTCAGGCGGCACGTTGATGGAACGATGCTGTGCTGTGCTTGTGTGCTGACTCACTGGCTGACTTCACTTGTCCCCGGGAAAAAATATTCAGAATATCCCTATATTCCCTAGATTGATTGTACCGTCACCTGGTGTCGAACTGCGACAGTGACAAGCAACACGACTGTCGGCATCGGCGTCAACTTTCGGGTCCGCTGGTTTCAATTGTAGCTGTTTGTTTTGTGTTCGTCTCTGCTCAGCTTTTGCTACGTCCTGTGAGTCACAGTTTCTTCGCGGGAGTTTCTGTAGGACGGCGAGACATTTTAGCGGACTTGTCTCTGGCGATGTGTACTTGTGAAACAACGGTCAAATCGGGCACTGTCGGCTGCTCCTCGTGTCCCTGAAGTATTGTCACGTCGCAAAATTGTGGCAAGCAAAAGTCGGGCTTTTATTCGTGGTGGCTTTTGTGTAGCAATGTCAAAAGGCTGCTTACACCCCCGGCTGCTCAAGAGGCTGGGGGTCTGGCGGCGCCCGGAAAGCGCAACAGCGTGCCTCTGCCGTGACCACTCGCTGCCATTACCGACGTCTTTTGGTCGGCTGATACCTTTAGTGGCAATTGGGCTAGAATATATCTGCATTTTAGGTAACTCGGTATAGGCACTGATAAAAAAAAAAAAAATGGAGATTGCGGCAGAGCGAGTTCGTTAAATCAAGGTTATTCATCGCGAGTGCTTCGTTACATGGAGTTCACAAATACGAGCGCTTCTATGAAGATCGCGTCGGGGGATTGAAAAAGTTTGTTAAATAGAGGTTTGCGTTGTATACAGGTTCATTACGTCCAGGTTCAGCTGTAGTTGCTTGTTAAGGCCATCATTTGCTGACACTTTTATCTTGTACATATGGCCTTTTTTTTTTTTTACACTTTTACCACCGTGTATGCTCATTCTGCATCGTATGCTGGCCGCCTTTAGATGAAAATGCCATGTTTACTGAAGCAAGCTTTAAACCTGTATTTTTCTTGCTTTTCGTTCGTTGAACCAACAGCTCCTTCCTCAATCCTGGACATAACAGATCGAGAAAAGTGAGTTGGGGACCTCTGTTTGTTTTTGAGAAGGATCTTGCACTTGCCAGAACTTGTCGAAAGACTGTAGTCAAGAAAAAGTGGCTGCTGATGGGGGACCACATACTAGTTTTCCTAAAGGGGTGCATCTTCAGGGGGCAATTCTACTCTACTGTGCTAAGATTTCAAGAAGCCAGAGTGCCAAGAAAAGAAATCTGTTGACATTTCGTTTTCTTGTCCAGATTTATAAACTAATTTGCATATCAAACTATTGACTTTGGCAACTGCAACCCTTGAACTGTTAATAAAACAAGTTTGCCACCTGAACATGTTTACGTTTGAACTTACACTTTCCTCCATTGAGCTGCAGCCCTAACCTAGGATGTGCAGAGCCAGTGGCGTAACTAGGGGGGGGCAGGGGGGTACAAGTGCCCCGGGCACCACTTGGGAAAGGTGCGCCTAGCCGAGTCCGCCCATAATAATAATATAATGATGATGATGATGTCATCATCACTATCATCATGAGGGACGCAAAATTTCATTTGCCATGGGTGCGGCCATATCTAGTTACGCCACTGTGCAGAGCGAAAGTTTGCTTCTTGCACGAAGGTTGCGATGGTGTAAAAACACTGGGCTCTTATCGGCTGATTGAAAAAAATAGTCGGTAAACCTCAAGGTATCTAGCACTGAGGTCTATCCACTGTCCTTTCAATCAAAGCCAATCAGAGCTCGGTGTCGTTCTGACGTCATTGCAACTCCTGCACAAGAAGCAGACGACTGGTTGTCCGCATACTTTTTTGCACTTGCTTTCACCCTGGGAGTGAAGAACTTGAATCACTGTCAGCTCCACTGCACCACTCTCTTGCATCCACTGTTCTCCTTCTGTATACAGCAATGGCTAACTTCATACGCTGCATGTCATAAAAGGCTTATGAGTTCCATTCTTGAAAATATTTTGAAAGTAGTCATATAGGTTATATTTCCAAAAGATATTAGAAAACGTGCAGGCTTCATTTTCAAAAAGACTTTGAAAGGAATGTGTGCTTTATTTTCAGGCATGTTTATAAGGCATCCAGCCTATTGATGAAAATACTTTAAAAGAAGGCCTTCAGGCTTTATGCTCAAACTATTTTTTTTTTAAAAAAACATACATGATTCATTTAAAAAAAAGATTTGAAAGTCATGCAGGTTTCTTAACAATTTTGAAACAAGGCCTTCACACTTTACCATCTAACATGTTTGAAAGGCATGCTGGCTTTATCCTTAAATATTTTGAAAAAAAGGCGTATAGGCCTCATTCTGGAGCATAATTAAAGGCATGCAGGCTTTATTTTCAAAATAAAGCCTGCAGGCTATATTCTAAGAAATATTTCGAAAAAAGCATACAGGCTTTGTTTTGAGACATTTAAAGGCATGCAGGTTTTACTCTTGAAAACATTTCAAATAAGGCATATAGGCTTCATTCTCAAAAAAAAATTGTATAGATTTGGTGGTAAATGCAGTGTTGACGTGCTGGTGCCCTTTCAATTTATCATCTTCTTGTGTGCAAGTTGAGAGTCTGACTTTGTTACATTAGGGGACAAACTGCCCTGCACAAAGCAGCCGCATACAAGCGGAGGACCATCTGCTGTATGCTGGTGGCAGCCGGGGCATCACTATCCAAGGAAGACAGTCAGGTCAGTCGTTTCCTGTAATTTGCATCTCATATTTATCATGGCTTCCTCTCTTGTCTTGGGGTGTTTTACCCTGGGTAGTGCTTACCAGGTGGTGGGGCTATGCATAACAACCGTGCACAGCTTCTGTGGCATTGCGTAAATTGGAATGGCAACTCATAGAATTATTTTCAATAAACCTTAGAATTCAGTGCACCTTATCTTATTCTGTTACCATTGTATTTTTGTGCATATTACCCACCCCTGCATAATCTGCACCCCAACTTACCAATCTCAAAAACAACAAAGAAAATTCCTTGCACATTACCTGCACTAACCATTCGAGTTAGTGTTCAGATCTCGCTAGAAACCATACCTTTATTTTGAACACGCTCACGCTGGTGCCTCGTCGCCGGTTGCGTCATCGTCCATGCCGTCGAGGCGATTGCTGATGTAGCACTTTTTGAAACTGCTCCGCACCATCTCATCTAGAAAAGTCGCAGACGCAAGATTTCTGCAGGCCATACGGCGTAACCGTGACCTCTTCCCCCCTCAAAGAACTTCGTGGGCAGTTTTTCAAGCTCGGGGTATGCACCAGTCTTCGAACCACGGAGCTATCTTTGGTCGCGGCCTCCTGTTTGCAGCTTCTCATTGTTCTCCATTCTCGTACACCACAACTCATCCACGTCGTAGAGGTTGTAATTCCAGCCTGCCACTCAATTTACGATCTCTTCGGCAATGGATTCGACGACAGCACGGAGAGACAATGGACTTCTCGGTGTTCGCAAAAACAAAGCAAAGATGGCTACCCAAAAAGATGAGAAGGTGAGGGAGAAGAAAATCCCTAGGAAAGACCGGAGAAGGGGGCTCTGGGGAACCTATCCCTACAATTTTGCTCTCATTGCCGCGAAGTCGCATAGCCCGTTGAAATGCGCTTATAACTTGCACCCCTACTTTGCCTTTGATTTTGTATAAATTTTCATGTGGGTTATATGTGAGAAAATGCGGTACTTTAGCTTGAGGTTATTTTCTGTACTTGGACTGTCCAAACCTCGTTGAGTGTGTCAGTTTTCTGGTGATAACCCCGATTCTATATTTGCTTAAATGTAGGTCGACTCCGAATACTGAGTATATACACCAACTCGTGTTTACAGACCAACCGGAGCTCCCCTAGCAATGCAGTACCAGCACCGCTCATGTGCGGTGGGGTGGGGGAAAGAAGCGCGCCGTCCCGCATCGACAAACCATTGGAATGTGATGTTGTCGGCGTCGGTGTGAGACAGTGTGCTCTTTTTTGCTTTGGAATTGTTGATACTACGTCTTCCTAGCCATGTCTTACCACTTTAGTGGCCTGAGCAAAATTAACGAGGCTCCTTGCACCACATAACTGTGTAAATAATGTGACATGCGTGAACGCCGCAGAGTGGACGCTGAAGCCTGATTCACATATGAGATTCTCCTCCCTATTTTCAGGCGCGACAAAGCTCGGGCTGTAAAAGCTGGCATGTTCGACGTCAATACTGAAAATCGCAAGCAAAATCAGACCTAGTGAATCGGGCATAACAAGTCAGTAGTGGCCACTGGTAACTGATGAACATCTCATTGTATCTGCTGTCTACGCCCAGCCTACTTACCCCAAATAACCTTCGAACTTAAAAGTATTTTGAGGCCTGCACTTACCTCTTATCTTAATTACCAGGTCAATGTTCGGTCTACGGGCCGCTGTCGTCTGAACGAGCAGACGACGGTTTGAACAAGCAGACGAGCTTGAGAGAGCAGACGACAGTTTGATTGATCGGACGTCCGTTTGAACATGAGGATGCACTGAACGCTGTCCACGGATGGTCCAGACTGCTTGACGGTTTTCCCGCGTTCATGTTAGAACGAAACAAATAAATCTGGCAACCACAAGTGTCCGTGAATTCAACCCAAAGTGCTTCCCACACAAGCAATCGTGGACCGGTGGTGTCTGATTTTTCCTTTTCACGGTACGTGTCCGCATTCTCGTACGAATCGTGCAGGCAGAGAACACTTGAAAACTGATCTTCACACCTTTCCCAGCTCTTTTAAAAGAGCTCCAGTCACAGCATTTTGACAAGTAGGCAGGTTTTAGTCTGGTTTCTTCCAAAACAACACAGGTATGCACGTCCCGCGCGGCGACTTCCACCCACACCCCCAGACCGAAAGAGCGCCCAGAGCACCGCCACCATGACGTGACGTAACAAAGTTAAGTTGATGTATATGTCGACCTATATTTTTATAAGCGTAAGGGAAGAACACTTCTACAATTAGTTATTTTGCACATGTCTCTAATCACCCTGGCTAAGACATTATACAAGCTTGATCATGCAGACAAAGGCTGGTAAGCGCAGAATGTGTGATAGGCCTTCCATGGAAGTGAAGGGCATCTGAACAGCACCGTCTACCGAAGATTCGCTCTAAGTTCTGACACACGCCGCGAGGTGGCGCAGCACAACAGGGATGGTCACGAAGCGCGACCGCGCCATTGAGTTTGCTTTTGCATCCTTTGACCACTAATCCTGAATAGCTCAGTTGGCAAAGCACTTGACCCACAATCTCAGCGTGGTGAGTTCAAGTCCTGCCGGGGGACCGATGTCTTTTTATATGGTTCCCTATGGGCGTAACGGCTTTCGGCGTAAGTTTTTTGTTACAGCCAAACGTTGCAGAACTCCATGAAAATCGGCTGATAAAGCACATTCTGCATCATAACTCACTGGCCAACTGTGCTGGCAATGTCGTTTTCCGAGATTCTGGATTGGCCGCCCCTGTGCCCCTACTTCGTGGCACTCGCACTGCATTGCTCCCATCAGATGTTACTGGTTTGTGCCAGCGTGCTCGGAAAGCAGCCGGCATGAATGAGCATCTTGGTTAGCTCTATGAGCCGGGAAATTTTGCCCATTATTGTAGGTCAATCTTTTTCAACTGCGAATGCTGGTTGACTGGCAATTCTCATTCGTTAGATTGAGGCATTAAACCTCAACCTAACATACCCCAATCTAGCTAAATTCGCTATTTAACCAAATTTTTTTTTGTCTCCCTATCTTGCTTTTATTTAAAACAATGTATTTTTATTTCTCGATTTAGCGAAGTACTTTTGCGCCGAAGTTTAGATTTAACAAAGTCTTAGGAAATTGCACATACACATATCGGCGGCATCTGCGAGAAAAAGAAATTTAATAGAAACAAACCTTTTTGTTGAAAACTGAGCATAAAAATGCGCAAAAAAAAAGTACACACTGGTGGTGTGGGTGATGATGATTATGATGATAATTAGCCTCGTAGCCTCCGCCTCCCGTGAAAAAAAAAGGAAGTCCGTCATTACATGCACTTACACCCAACGAACTAGAGCTCTTATGCATCTCCTACAACGAAAATTGTTTCGTACCTCGAGTGTTGTGGTGGAAGTGGTTGTGCTCTTCTTGGAAGAATGTGTGGTGCACCACACAAAAGGAAAGTTCTGTCGCTCGACAACAAGGCGAAAATAATCGCTGAAGTGACGAATGGCAGAAAGAAAAAGACAGTTGCCAAGAAGTAGGAAACTTCGCAGAGTTCGCTTTCGCCAATTTTGAAGCTAAAAGACAGCATTATGGCTACCGTAAGTGCCAGTGGTTTAAGTACCGAAAAAAATAACTTAAAGACTGCCGAGTATGCTAACGTTGATGGTTCGCCGACATGCAGTCCAAGAATGTGCCCTTGAGCGGAAAGCTGCTCCAACAAAAAGCCCGGGAATTCGCTTACGTAATTAGATGGGACGACTCCAAAGCCAGCACTGGGTGGCTGCAACGTCTGTCGGCAGTTACGAGCGGTCCGCTCCGCGGTGGTGCATTGGTTTTGCTTTGCTTTCCCGACTGCACACTCTCCTGTGGTGCTAGGCACTGCTTCCATAACCGTGCAAAATCAGGTTCAATGAACTGCATTTTTCTACAGTCATACCTGTTTAAAACGAGCAGCAGGAAATGCTGCGATCAGTTCGATATAGGAAGTAGTTCAATATAGCAGAAACCATTTACAACGAACTTCCACAATGCGCTCGTTGTAAGGCGAGAGCTTCTCTTTCTTTCTCATCTCTTCGCTTCCGCCTTGTAACAACACGCTGGAATTTTTGTTTTGTTTTTTTTTGCTTGCTTGCAGACTTTTTTTTGCTTATCTCTCCTTCTGAATCGCTTCTTTTCGCTCAATTTTTTTCGTGGCTCGAGCTTTTGAAATTTTCTTTCTCTCCTACTTTTTTTGGGGGAAAAGGGACAGGCTAGAAGACGATTGTTTGTGCATTTTTGGAAGCCTTCCCAGGCGGAAAAATTTGATATAGCCAATATCTTGTTCGTTATAAAAAGTACTTTTCACATGCTTTTTTATTTAAATTTTCTGCGAGTTCGATATCGACAATAATTCACTGTACGGGGGTTCGTTCTAAACGGGTTCCACTGTATTAGTGCCGCATTTTGTGGTGCTATCTTATTTGTAAACGCTCACTTGCATCATGTGAGGCAATTGGAAAGTTTTAGGAGCCTGGAAGACCAATCGCAATGCTAAAAAAACAAAAACCTCGGTCCAACGAAGTTCACGATGTAACGAAATTTTTGGCTCTAGAGACTACTTTGTTGAATTGAGATTCAACTATCTTGCCAACGGTTTGTGTACCTTGTTGCAGGGCTTCACTGCAAAGCAGCTGGCAGCCAAGGCTGGAGATGAGGACTTGGCAGCTTACCTTGAAAGTGAGGACACCTTTCAGAGCTCTGGTAGTCGGGCAGCCATCTTGAAAAGAGGCATTTTTGTGCAATTTTTGTCGAAAGCAGGGGAATTGCTGGCAAGCACTCATTTTGCTGCCATGTTCTTCCATGTCTGCTAGTATCTAAAAGGGAAGTCATGGATAATAATTGCTGAAAAATTTTATTATGTAAAGGTAGTGGTTTTGCCCTGTCTGTATTGTCGAGCACTTCCCCTCAAAGTGTTGGTGTCAAATATATTGGGGAAATATAGAAATATCTTCAAATTAAAGTAAAACTTCAATTTCTTTTTTTTTTTATGTTTTGCAGGAGGTTTGTGCAATTTTGATGCTCTTACGTGACAAGCATAAACTTGATAGTGCTGAATTTGCATTGCATATGTATACCCGGTGATGATGTCTGGCTTTTTCTTTCTTTACTAAACTAAAATTAACGAGAAATTTCAAGAAAAACTAGTGAAGCTTAGAGGTTCACTTACTGTCATTCATTTTTAGGCTTCAAAATACCTACTTTTGGAGAAATAACATAACCTAGTACCTCTAGCTAGAGAAAACCTCTGAAGTCATAGCCATGCTTACCCTTTACAGTGTAGACCGCATATAACGTATGTCGCGGGAGTCGCGAAAATCCTCACTATAGGCGGTACCGCGCTATAACCAAAACATCAATTTTTCAGGCCGAAATACATGCCATGAGACAACTTACCTTTGTAAAAGAATTTATTTTATGTTAGATGAAAAATAAAGCTTAATTTGAGGAAACTCTTTATTTCACCAGACTAGTACACTTTTCTCTCAAGTGTGTCACACATTTTGAAAGAAATGAGCGGCTTTTGCCTGGCGCAGCCTTTTAACGGTGTCGCGGGTTGCGGACGGACATTGCGAGCGTTCAGGATTGCTAACCCTAATCACTTTTCTCCGGCGATAAAAACGCATAAAAATTCGCATCCTTCACACAGTACGCGCCAGTAATACCTTCAACTTGAGCACATGCATGAAATGCGCCAAATAATTAACAAATCCGGGCGATGTTCGAGGACACAAATGCTTAGAAATCACCACTGTAGTCGAAGTAAACAAACACGACGACTCGGGCGTTTCTGCCGTCTTGAGAATGCCACCACGACATCGCCGCACGAGTAGGTGGATCTTCCCTTCTAGTATGTGCTGGGTTATCATAGCGACACACAACGAAAATTCACAGTCAAGGATAGTGCTTTTATGCGGAACGATGAGCTTCCACCATGCAGTCTACGACGACGATCACAACCGACGATATGTTTGCGGATAGAAGAAGCCGGCCCGCGACTGGCATGCAACGCACGCAAACACTTCTCCTCGACCTGCAATTGATCTGTCGGTGCGGTTGTTTTCCAACGCAGCGGAGGGACGCACGCATGTGAACAACACGTGCATGCATCCCTCCGTCGCTATGGCAACTGAAGCCTCTCTCTTCGCTTCTCCCCGCTTCTTCGAGCAACCTCCTTGACCCGCGAGTGCCGCTTGCGGCTAGCGCCGTCAGCGCCGTTATCTAGTGTCGCACAGGGAAGCGTGCTCGCTGCGCCGGTCGTTGGTGGGCTGTTCCAGAAACCGCACTATAACCGGTATTTCTCTTCGCGCACCTGCATTTTAAGCGGTATGTAATTACATGAAGTTCTATGGGAGGCGAACCGGTGGTTTAAAAAAACACGTTATACCCGGTCCTGCACTGTAAGCGGTTACGTTGTAAGTGGTCTATACTGCATAATGATATAGCATTCTTTATTCTTTACCTCCCCGCTCCCCGCTTTAGCCCCCCCCCCCCCGATTTCTTGGACCTTTCTGGACTTCCTTGTGGTCTTTTGTGCTGAATTTTCGCCACATGTAGCGGAAAGGTTGACGTCACATGACCTATGCACCAATTCAGTTTCCCCGCTAAATTTAGCAGAAAAATGAATGTCACGTGACCTATGCATCAATTCAATTTCCCCACTAAATTTGGCGGGAAAACGGACGTCATGTGACCTACGCACCAATTTAGTGTCCCCGCTAAATTCGGAGTGAAAATTGATGTCACATGGTCTGACGTCATGGGACCTACAGACAGATTCAGAGTCACCGCTAAATTTAGCAAAAAACTTTGTTATGTGACCTATGTACCAATTCAGTTTCCCCGCTAAATTTGGCGGGAAGACACATCACGACCTTAAAGACCGACTTGCAAAATATTTTTCAACCAGGGTGATAATTCTTGCCACCTTTCCCATTTACCCCTCTCCCACTACCATCTTGACGGCGAGGGGACTTTTTTTTGCTGCACCTTGGGCCCGGATAAGCTGGAAGCTTATTTTGGCTCATCCAGCCTATACATATTTGAAAAGCTAAGCCATTTCTTAACAAAAACATTTAATCATTTCTCTACAAGGTGCTGTTGACCAGTTTTCGGTCTACGACAGTGGTATAAAGGCCTGTCCAGACATACACCGCAGCATAACTCAGCATTATGAGCACAGCACTGACTGCTAGTATATTAGCGCTGTGCCAGAGCTCTTCCGCATGTGACCCTGCCTTCTCCGGCATGCACACACAATGCTGCGCCGACTGAACAATAAGTTAGCATTAATTGGCTTTGTTATATCAGCACTGCAATGCATCTGTGAGCTGGCCTTGACGGGGAAAAAAAAAAATAATGTTCTTACAGGTCAGGAACACTTTGAACGGCTCGTTCAAGACCGCGAGACCGCCGTCTGACAACAGCTGAATGCTGGCGTCCTCAGCCATAGGGACGCCGGCCGTTCTTCGGGGCTGACCCACCTCCTCTCGCACCAAGTCCCCACCACGTCACACCCACCAATGAGAACTCGCTGAAGAACCAGGGCCTTCAAACCACATCATCTGAAAACCCACATTGGCCGTTGCTGCGCGACGTGCCGAGCGGGAGCTGAGGTGCTTCAAAGACAAAAGCAAACAACGCTGGTGGCAAGGTAATGCTGAAGGTCACCCAAAGGTTATAACTGTTGCCTTCGACGAACAAGCGTCATTACTAAAGTTTGAACCACGGGCTTGAGCATAGCCAAAGGTAACACCGGATGGACATTAAAAGAAAAGCAAGCTTATTTGAAAGTTGTGGGGACCTTCACCAGTCAACCAGCTGCCAGCATTGCTAAAGTAATTCCGACAAAGGGCTTGAATGGGGCCAGAAGCAACAGTCGTAGAAGAGGTCAGAGCAGAGTGTGGAAGGTCGTCTCAAGGTCAAGATGAATGCCCTCGGCGATGACAACCTGTGCCGGTTTAGGTGCGGACACGAGGACGAAACACAGTGTGTGGACCCAGTCCTACTCTGGCACAAGCCCAAGAGAGAACCTTAGAGTTTGCAAGTATGCGTCAAGGTCGTAGCGAGGTCGTGACAAGGTCGTGGGAGGGGAGACCTCAGCATGGATGGCAAGTGGTGAAAAAGTGTTTTGTGCTGTATGAGGCACCAGCAGAGGCTTACATTGCATTTTTGTTTCTTGGTTGTCATTGTACCCTTTCCGCAGTCAGCTGGGAAAACTCATGTTGGCCTACTCCTATGAGCCGGTAGTTTCATTGAAACGTGATAATCCCCGTATAGTTTCTATTTATGTGTTTTATTGTACAAATCTTGCATTATTGTCTTTCTACTTCCTGTGCACACGCACTAGCATGGGCAGCATGCACTATATCTAAATGCACTCTCTCCAAGGACGGGGGTCTTCTAGATTTTTCCTTCCTAGGCTCTTTGGCAGCGTTTCCTTTCCAATCTTTCGCGTTGGTGATCTCCTTTTTTCTTCCCTCTTTCATCGCTCTTTATGAGAAAGCAGTTTTCGTCGCTTTCACGTAAGCTTTTAGGGGCTTTGTGCTTTATTCGTACTTAGGGCAGCATTATCTCGCATTTCTTTAACATCAATTCCTTTCGTACGGTGGAGCACTTGCAGAAGATCTTGTTTCACATTCTGCTCATCTTCTACGTCGCCCCTAAGCTTCGAAGATTCGTTCCATTCGGTGAGGTAGCAACTCCTAGAGCCTGTGCAGCTAGTTTACTAGTTTTCAGCAGTGTTATAGTGCGCTGTCCTGGCGGCTTTTTAGAGGCAGGTCGTAACGGGGCATTTCGGTTCCTGGAAAGCTCCACAACAACCAGATGTCGGGTGAATGTCGGGTCAACACGGGAGACGTCGTTTGTCCCAACGGTGCTGTCGGCACGACTGCAGGTCGCACGTCGAGGAGTGCCATTGGCCCTTTGTTGCTTGATTGCGGGTTTCGAGATGATAGGTCCCTTCCCCCAATAATAGCAGCAAGTTCCTGCGTGACACAGAGTTGCTAACACTGTAGGTGCTACCCCGTGTTTTTGCATGGCCGGAGCCTTTTTATGACAGGCTGACTTCGCGCCGTATGTACTGTTGTACATGAGAGTCTTTGCCGATGCCCCCCCCCCCCCCCCACCCCACGTCGAATGCCGTGACGCGGATTCGACGTCGCACCTTTTTCATACATTTGCTGGCAGCACAGATACTGTAAATAATATAGTATTGCACACATAAACATGCATGTGTAGGGGCATCTAAAAGTAGCGCAGGATGCTGACTTTGTTTCTGTTTTTTTTTTAAATGTCTCGTTTTATTCTGCTTTGTTAAAAGTGGCGGTTTGAATGAGCGAGGCACGTTTTATGTATTTTTCACTTGGGCATTTTGCGGTTGGAATGCGTAGCCTTTTGAGTGCGAGATTGGCACATTTCGACATATCATTAGCTATTCTACGTGAGAACATGGCTGATTGAGCCACAGCTGTGGGTGTATTGAATTGAAAAAGAAGCAATTGGGAGTGTGGTAGTTAGTTATATGTGACTTCTATTGGCAACTGAAAAGAAAATGAAATGATGCCTTAAAAGTATGATGAAATGACTGTCTTGCGGTTATTGTAAACCCTTCTCATTCATCCGGCACAGAGTGCGCTTCAGTCTTAGTTTAGATAGACAAATCAAAGAAATTTAACAAACAAAATTTAAAATCAAGGTAGATTTTTTTTTCCTTCTCATCTGCTTTTGTTTCCCACAACGTGCGGTCATGCATAAGCAATGCGGGAATTAACTATTTGTGGTCGATGACTTGTTCAGTCAGGCTTACTGGAGTCATCAATCGGTTCACAGAGCCTCAGAGGTAAAATAGAAGGGGAAACCAAAAAACCTGCCGCCGGTAGCCAACAGAAAGTTAAAATGTTGTTAGATACATTAGCGTAATTTCATGAGGGAGGGAAGGAAGATTAATCAGACTACCACCATCAGCAGTCATTTCATAGTCCCTTTTGCATTCTGCTGTCATCCCAAGAAGGGGAGGGGGGTTGAAAAAGTGAATTGTCAATCACTACTTGAGTTGATTACTCTTTATTTTTTTTTTATTTTTTTACTTTTTGACGGAAGTTGACTTTATAACTCGTGTGACAAAAACATGCATACTTGCCCATCCCAGCTTGGATGCCGTGCAAGCAGCTGAAACGCCATCGGAGATTTCGTAGCCCAAAAGGTGGCAGGTTCCGTGTTTGGGTTCTCAGCTTTTCTTTTTTTTTTTTTATCAGACTGCAGCCTTAATGTGACTAGTCTTGGCTCACTTCCGTTCACGTTGAGCAGCCATGACTATTGCTCGAGGGTGGAGTTTGTTTGGCCCTTGCCAAAACGGTCTAAGTCAAAACTGTGTTTTGTTTCCTGATCTTGTTTTCGTCGCTCGCTGTGCTTGACTTGCCAACACTGGTCTAGTGCAGCGAGCTGCCCTTCGAGGCAGTATCCCATTTGTTCTGATGAATGACGATGTCATTGCTGTTCCTGCCCAATTAACTTGCCGAAGATCTGTACAAGCCCATGTGACACGTTGGAGTTGGTAAAGAAGCACTTGGGACACTAGAGTTACAGCATGTGGACACAAGAATTCTTGTATCCCTTTTGACGGGTTTCTTTTGTGTTAACCCGCACCAGTGACATCCCCACTTGTCTGGACTGATTGCATTCTCGTTTTTGTGTTTTAGCGAGAACTCTGACAGTTGCTTTCTGGGTATCCGTTGAGTTTGTTTATTTTGTCTTCCAATGAATTTCACGGAAGGAAACATAGCAAGTTGTGGGACCAAGGGGGATACATGGCCTACAATTCTGGTAACGTGCAACTGTCGTGGGGGGCATTCTGATATTCGGCGGGAGAGACGATTTTCTGATGTATGCTTCAATAACAATGCAACCTTGAAAAAAAAAAAAAAAAAAAAGCAGAATTTGGTCACTGTTTCTTTTGTTGTTTCACTTTATTCTGTTTTAGGGTGGGCTGTAATGCGTCCGTGCACACTTGCCACAACGTTCACTCATTCACTCGAGCCAGTCCCTGCACTTGCGAGGACAAAGATGCAGCGGCGACGTGTTTGCTTAATAATCACTGTGTGACACATATGCCAAAAACTTGCCACAGGAAGTTGCCCAGGCCAGTGGTATGTCCTCGAAAACCCCTCTCTACCAAAGTGTACATGTACATATTATATATATATATATATACACAAAAGAAAGCCATACACATGACCACTTTAGGTACGTCTATAGGGCAAACGTTCTCCTCCGAGTACAATAATTGGTGCAACTTCCGCCCTTTCTCTTTCAAAGACCACACACGTTAGCTGGTCGGGGAAAGGTGTGTGGCAACCTTGGGTTTTCTGCCCCGTTGTTACGGTGACTTGCACTCTCGGAGAAGCAGACGACGAAAAGCTGCATTCTCCGCGAAACGTCACCGAAGGTTGAGTGTAGCCATTCTAGCTCTTTTCTTTGGACAGTTAGTCGTTCTGCCAGTTGCCTGCGTGATTTTTTTTTTCGCCTCCCTAAGCTTGTTACTGTTGTCACTGTTGTAGGGTTGACTTTGCCGAGAACAAGTTGATCTAATAACGTTGGCCGAGTCGCAGTGTTGCGTGCGTGAGGTGGGCCCAACGACCTATACTGCACCGCCCTTTTTCTACAGAACTGACAGCACGGGCATTCTTTTTTTTTTTTTTTTAATAAGGAAACAAAAATTTTGTGACTTTCTCAAAGTTTTTTTTTTATTTTTTTGCTTTTAATGGTATTGTTGCTTCGCGGTTACCATGAACTGAAGCCCACTAGAAGTGGCGCCATTTTTGTGAAAGACGCATGTGTGATGTCGCACGGCTATCATGTTCATCATCAACTGGCAGCCATGACTTTAAGCAGCAAGATGGCTGCAGTGTCGTTACTGTCAAGCGTAGCCTACTTAGTAGCTCTAATGGTGACAGGTGTGCGACGTCACATGCGAGCTTCTCTGACAAAAAAGTGCAGCGCACGAAGCAGTATTCTTACCCACTTGTCGGTTGTTTTCTTTTATAGTCTTTCTTTTGCCCAAAGTTGTTTGAGTGCAAAATAAAAAAAGAAAAGAACTCATCACAGCAGAAGGATGCGATCATGTGCCGCACGCATTGTTTGTTGGTGCAAGTACATTGTTACCAAAACAGAAAGAAAGACGACTTCGTAGGGGCACTTTGTATCCTGTCGAAACTGCCCGCAGGTTCTATTTTTCCTCACCTGCATGTGCTTTAAGCAGTCATCTCTTCTCGAACGGTGTAATGCTGCGGACGCAAATCCCCCGAAGAAAATATACTGGCGTTTCTCAATGGTCTACAGTAGTTGGCCGATACGACCTCGTTTGCAAAGACGGTGGACGACTCGTTTCTTTTTTTAAATCTCGACATTCGAGCGCTGATTGCATTTCTTGTTGGGATTGGGCCGCCTAAAACTTTTTGCACAGTCGGTACTGGCTGTTGATGTGTGTTTGATTTTTGCTACGTGCTTGCGATTTTTTCTTACCAACACGGTTCAAAGGCTGCGCAATTTATTGACGACTGCTTCTCTGGGTTCCTCGACAGAAACTCATTAATCCCTTGGTGGGTGCAAAGGAAGCCTGCGTTTTTGTTTGTTACTATTTCCGTTGTTTTCCCTGCAAACGAGTGAGAGAAAATAAATTTTGAAATACAGGAGGGACCAAACTCTTTCTTGTTGTCGCTTATTCCTTGTGAATACTTTTTTTTCACTCAAAGTTTTGTAAAGTTGTGGCTTCCAATGTCTGGTTGGACTAGTTTTTTTGTAGGTTAAGAAAAGCAGCACTCCTCCCCTATAGCCCTTTCCACATTAGCAGAGCTAAGGCTGAAGAGGAGGCGAGTGGAGAGGAAAGAAAAACCAATCATGGTGAGCAGGGAGCTTTGTGGGCAGGGCTTCTGGTTTTCTTAACTTGCAACACACTATGAAGGTTGGAAACAATGTGTGTGCAGCATTTTGGGAGCAGAAATTTCTGAGGGGACATGATAGTGATTTTATGCAGATGCTGCAAGAACAGTAGCAGCTAATTGTGCCGATATAGTGCAGACCTCATTCATGTCCACCCATCTCGGTTGGTAGACAAATCAAGCCGGCATTGGTGACACCAAGCGACCATTCGGAAAAACAAGGGGCTGTTCACGATCGACGCACTGACCGACGCGCTTACGAGAGGTCAGAAATTCGCTGCGCTATATTTACACGGGGCATGACGCAGCTTTTGTAGCGTGAGCTACACTGGCCGAGGTTGAGCAGTTTCGCGTGGCTCCTCGAGAGCCGTGCTGCGCATGCGTGAGGAGCAGTGATGTCACACGGCGCACAGCTGGCGCACCGGAGCCGCCGCCGCGCGCGCCTCGCCGGTCAGCGCATTTCAGAGGAGCGACGTCATAGCCGCGGCAGACGCACTGGCGCCGCCGCGTGCCCAGCTGTGAGCCTCCGTTGCGCAGTAGCCAAGTCTGACGCGAGAGTTGGCCTGAATCTGATTTGTTGAGTAGTCTTCAATAGCCTCTAAGAACGAGACAGGGGAGTTGGGGGGGGGGGGGGGGGGGGGGGGGGCTGTACACAGCGGCAACGATAAAATTAATGCCGCAAAAATTTATTTTGCTCCAGACACTTTCGCTATCTGGGATGTCGGGCATTCAAACGAAGTCGATACTTTCTTTCACTATTATAGCAACACCCCCACCACATGTAGTGCGGCTATTACGCATCATTTTGTATTTGGGGGGAAGCAGTTCACTATCTGTTATTTCAGGGCGCTGCCAAGTTTCAGTGACTATAACCACATCCGGACCATAGTGAATAAGCAAGTGCTCTGGATCCCCAACTTTATTGGCAAGACTACGTGCGTTCCCATTAACCAGCTTGAATTCTCTGCTATTCGACTGTCATTCGTAGGTGCTTCGGTTTGCTGCATCTGAGGCGAGCTTTATCCTACAATTATTTTTGTCCTCCCAAGAGTACGATTCTTTATCGATCCTATCGTGGACTAGTCTACCAGACACCCCCTTAGCTCTGTCGCCTCTTGCTCTCTCCCAGAATTGTTTTCGTTTTCTTAAGGTGACCGGGGAATAATCGTTAGACACCGATATTTTGGTACCTTTTAGTTTTTTGGCAATTTCTAAACACTTCAAGCTTATCGTTATAGTCATAAAACTTTATGATAATTGGTCTTGCTTTGTTCGCGCTTTTTTTTTTTTTTTTTTTTCAAGTCTATGAATTCGTTCAATCGTGTTTACCTTAACACCCATGCGGTTTTCAAAAAGATCAGTTAGCACGCTTTCTCTTACATCAGCATTAGTTTCATTAGAGCTCTCGCGAACCCCAAACACTATCAAGTTGTTCCGGCGGCTTCTGCCTGCCAAATCGAGAAGCTCTCCCCTTTGTGTCTGGATAATGACGCTCATCTTCCTAACACTTTCTTCCCGGTTCGATATTTTTTCCTCGTGCAGCTGTACTTTTTGTAATGACTCGTCTAAGTGGCTAACCTTAGTGTTTATTGTTTCCAACTCTGCGAAAACGGTCTTGACTTTCCTTAATGTCGTTTATATCTTCGCTTATTTTTTTCTGACCCAAAAGAAGCTGGTTAAACATTTCCTCAAAATCAGGACCGGGATTTTCTTCGATATCTCCGGCCAGCAGCAGCTACAAGGGTGATTTACAACATTCCGAACATGTTTCAAAAAACACTTCAGGGCACGGCAGAACCTCGACAAATCGGTTGTCACTTTTAAAACTTTTACAAAGGGAGCATCTACTCACCTGTTGGAAAAGTAGGTACAGTTTAGGTGACATGCCTCTTTCGGCTCCGCCGTGCCCTCTGAAGTAGTCGCGGGGGTGGGTCCTTTTAAACGCTCGGCGCAGTGCATGACGGTCGCGATGGTTGCCTGCCCGTGCGATAGCGTTCCGTCCACTCTTGGTAGCCATCCGTGATCTCCGTCGATTGTTGTGATTGCAGGTGTTGTCGTGGCTTGCGCTGGCTATGTTGCGTACCACAGCAGCGCCTGTTGGAAAAGTAGGTACAGTTTAGGGTGACATGCCTCTTTCGGCTCCGCCGTGCCCTCTCATGGGACAAGGGGTGTAATAATACACCTTTTTTTTTTTTTCTGAGAGTGCAGCCTTATCCACCCATTTATCCAGTCAACGCACCATAGGGACGACGTTTTTAGGGAAGAGGCCTTGTATTTTACGTGGTATTGCGCCAGGTATTGCTTCAATGGTCCGTCTCAGGAGCCAGTCTTCTGCTCTCCACCAGGCCCGCGTGATGCCTGTGTCGCTGCTCCAGGCATCCTGCCCCGAAGTGCAGGCTTGTCTGGATCAGGATCAACGTGTATGTGAACACGGCGCCGGCGATCTGGCCCGAGAAGCAAACGAGAACAAAATACCCGAGATTACCGAGAAAATAAATATAACAGCTCGGCGTGAAAACATACATGTTCCATCAGCGCGAATCCGCGCTGCTCAGGCAAGTAAGGAAATTTCGTAAGCCGAATTATTGGGCCAGCTTGAAAATTTGAGCACCCGAAATCGCCTTTTGGATACGTTGTGACCGTGTATAATCGCTGCTGTGTGATGCGCGAGAAAACACCTCAGCAGAGCTGTTGTACCGCACTGATCAAATTGCCTATGTATACATCGTAGAACGAGCCAGTGTCACCCGCCATACCTCAAAGGCAGATCTCAATGTTTAAACATTCAGCGTCTTATAATTAATTTTATTTGCTTTCAATGCAGGGTACATATTGCACTCGCTAAATCACCACACAAAAACAATATACCCTATAGGTTAGTTGGTATACGGTCAGGGCGGCGATACACAGGGTGTTCCCTTTTAAGCTTAACAAATTTGTTTAAAAAAAACCGCGGAAGCTACATTAATGCGGTTCGTGCAGGTGAGTTATACGGCCAGGTGGACATAATATAGGGGACTAATCGTTACGATAAGTCCCATACATAAGGAAGATTTGTTAATTATATTTTTATTCAGTGAAGATCCATATAGGTTCCAATTAGACTTGCTGAGGGTCATCGAAAACCGCTAAACCAGCAGTTTTTGGAAAGACTTTGAGCGCGTGGGATGCAAGTGCGCCAAAGTTACAACTCGCGCAACAGGCACAAGTCTGGGGTAAAATAATAATGTTCTATAAAGATAAAACTTCAGATAACTGGCAGTTATCTCAAGCTTATACCTCATTTAATGGCACTTATGTGTGCTATATTTCGTTTCAGCGTGCACCCGATGGTATACAAGCGCGAGCATGGGGCCCTGACCAGTCCCATACGAAAATGTTAGATCGGAGTGGTTCCAGTTCGGATCCGCGCGGAGCCGCGTGGTTCTAAACTTATGAACACTTCAGATCCGCGCGAATCCGATCTGGTACCGCGCGGTTCTGGGTGTAACCAGTCGGATCCAGTGAGACGCAGCGTACTGGAACCGCACGGTGATGGGTGGATCCGATCCGTTCCCCTTGCTTCCAGTAGGGCTCCCAGCCAGCGAGCGCGCTAGCGTTACGTCCGACGGAACTCCGTATCAGTGTTAGCGTTACGTCCGACGTAACTTTACGACAAGGTTTTGAGTTACGTCCGACGTAACCCAATATGAAGATTAAAGTTACGTCCAACGGAACTCCGAATAAAACTTTAAATGTTTGCAACAGAACCTAACTGTCGCAGTGGTAGAGAGTATTAATGTGCATTTCAACGCACATTAACCAGCACTGAAACGCGAAAACCAGCCGCAAAGCAGCAGAAGCCCAGCAAAACAACACGCAAACCAAACAAAAAAAAAAGATACAATAATTATTTTTAACCTAGGTGGCGCAAGCTACCGCCCATCCATTCAAGCACAATGATGCTGCCGTGCATTTTAGGTTTTGTTTTCGCTGTGCCGCCATGTTGATTTTTGTACAGCCTCCGGATACCAGGGGAACCAAATGGCGCTGCGGACTCCCAGGGTTTACCGATTCGCGTTCCATGGGCGGTACAGGGAGTTGCACTCCTCTGGCCTCGCTGGCCTCGCGCCTCGCTTCGTCTGTTGCAGTCGGCGGCAGCGCTCCGGGGGTTTAGGTTCTCCGCTCTCGTCGGACTGTCGTTCGGCGCTCGCCCGGCGGCGATGTTCGCGCTGCGGGCGCACGGATACTGACGCGCCCATCGTTGCCCTGGATGGACACCTACTGACCTCGGCCTTGAAGCTTCATATAGCATGAAGCTGCCGACCCATTGCACTTTGACTCGGCATCGGGATGCGCTTGGCGCCGGTGTGCTTGGTGACAATACTTGGGCAGCTCGGATACCGCTTGCCCGCCGGAACTTCCCGATGCGCTCAGCACTGGACCAACTGGACCACTGGATACTGTGCTTGTGCGTGCTGTGTGTGTTCTGTGCACAGTGCTTGGTGGCGACGCCTGGACGACCGTGTGCGCCGCCGAAATTCCCGCTGTGCTCGCCACTTGACTACAAAAGTATGAGTAAAGCTATACGCACTACGCGGACAGCTGATGCATTTGGGTCACCCTTTTCGAACGGCGCGTGTATCACTAAGGGAGCTCGTTAACACCCCCTCTCTCCCCCCCCCCCCCCCCCCCCCCCCCCCCCCGCCTGCGTTCACGACGCTTCGCGGCGACTGTGTGCGGCTGCTAATTACAAAACTTCACTCGTACACGCCGCTTCGCGG